CTATTGTCTACAACTGAGGCACACTTAACCAAAATTCACATGAAATGAATAGATATACAAACAAATGCTCTGATATTAAGTACAAGCACTTAAAAGATTAAACATCTCACTTTATTTCTAATTACCAAGTAGTTATGAATGTTGTACTTTTCTCATAGAAATATGTTAATACATTCCTGATTTTATTCCTGTGTTTGCAACAAAAGAAAGGATTCCATGCTTCTGAAGAGTAGAGGTTTCTTTTCATTATTGTGCTCTCAGAATATGCATCACACTAACACATCAACACTTTGGGAAATTAAATCAATTAGATTTATTTTTTGCAGTAGCCTTCTTAGCCTGTATAAGCTTATAAGCATCAGTGAAGGAAGCACAAACTTCTATAGATAGTCAGACAGCTGAGCTTTAGAATAAAGAGCAATATTTCAACATTCTTAGAGCTATTTCACTTAGTGAGCATTTCACTTAAAATACAGAAAAAACTACTATGTAAAGAAATAATAAATTTCCATCCTTGTTCATTTCTACAGATGGCTTTTGAGTATCTGCCTCATCAGAAAATAAAACCTTATTGCTAAGAATATTAGCTAAGAACAGAACCACACAACAAAGATATTTAATGAGTGTATTAGATTTTGAAAATAAAAATGTGCCATTATAAACAAAGAAGCATATTTAATACCTGCAAACAAAAAGCTATTCTGCAGTATGTGATGATTCAATAAATAGGAAACTCCTGAAACCGATGAAAACACTAACACTGACCTCAAACAACTTTGTGTCAGCTTCCAAAATTTACACAATTTACACTAATCGTAATAAGTAAATACATTCTATTAACATCTATCTTAATAATGCTCAAGACCCCAGTAAGTTTTGAAGTGGTCAGTAGGCACAAGAACTAATTCTTTATGAGAAACTCCTTGTATCATATATCACCTTCTTTTTCAAGAAAACTTGGAGATTTTAAGATATATTTTAGAGTTGCTGAACCACAGAATTGCCACAAGCAGAGATATCTCCAGAATCACAATAGCAGAAACTTTCTTCATCCCCTACATTGTCTCTTACTGTTCCCTGGAACCTCTCCCACTTCTTTTTCTTATCCCCTACCTATAAGAGAAAATTGTCTCCTGTACAAAATGAGTATTTCTTCACCCACTACCTCATTAGTGAGTTATTTAAAGGTGGTTTCTTCTGATCAGGGAGACAGTCATGAATCTGCTCTGTGACTGAGCTACTGAAATCTCAGCAATAATCTGTGAAAGCGTTCCATTGCTTTCATGTAACTTGTAAAATCTATAACCTATACAATTTCATCTAATAAAAGATTTATCTTCCTCTGCAAATTTTGCTTCCTATAATAACATACCCATTAAATACTTATTAAATGTATATTCTAATTATTTTTACATTCACATAAGCTATACCCATGTAAGTGAGCTTCAATCACATAGAACACTAATATAAAACAAATAACAAAGAATTACTTATTTTAGTCCTTCATATATATTTATTTCAAAATACTCTAATTCTGGCCTCTGTATTTCAGGTTTGCCAGCAGTTACAACAAAACCTTATGGATCTGACCTTTACAAAAGATCCTTTGCACAGCACTTTGTAGTGAGAAGCATGCTATGATCATATCATTTCTTACTGAGTCATTCACATGAATTGTTTATAAAGATGGAATTAGTCAAAATGCATTCTTGGAAATCATCTAGAAATTGTTAAACATTTATACTGTAATATTGTCAGCAATTTTAATAAATCCAGATTTTTGAATTCTATTAGCCTATCAACTCATAATTTCAGATGTACTGCAAAGGATCTCTGCCTGAATTTGGCTGGCCTGTATCCATAAAATTTACTAAAATATCAAGTGCTATCAACCAAAGCAAAGTTAAAGGAGTAGAAAAGGGCTGCCTTTAGCGGTGGAGGTATTTGGAAATAGTTTTACAATAGCTCTCAACTGAAATGAAAGCTGATCCTTTTTGGGAGCTGCATTATATAGAATCTGAGTATATACTTAACATTTCACATTGTATCAGCAGCCTGTGAAATGTCTGATGTTGGACTTAGAAGACATTATAGAAAGACAGCTGCTAACAAATCCTATAGGACAATTTGTTACTGTTCAGTAAGATATCAGAGGAAAATAAGGTTGGATAGAATTTTCAACATTGCTTAAGGACTTGACTGCCACTACAATGAGTGCTTTTCAAAACATACTTGAAACTCTTGCCCAGTATTTCTTTTCTTGAAAAAAAACATGGGCTTGAGACTAGTTTTCAAAACCCCTATCTAGTTTCCTGCTCCTGTGACTAGATACTGATTTAATTTATAAGGCTTCTATTTCTGAAAGCTTTGATTCAATGTGTTATGTTACATATACTTTTGATGCACAGAGGGAAGTTTTGGTCTTGCTTGAGTGAATGGAAATTTTTTACCATTTTCAGTGGGATCAGAATTTCAGTTGTATTTGGGGCTTTCAAGAATTCCTAAACTGCTTATGAGTTTGGGTAACTGTTACATGTAGACCCTCTTTTCAAACCTCCACTTCAAAACAGAAGTTCAAGAAATAAGGCTACCATGTTATTTATATACGGACTTTCAATTTGTAATGTAACGCGATTTATGGAAAGCCACAAAGCAAACCAATGTTAAGAACAGAATTCTGACTTTGGGGACTTTTTTTTTGTTTTCTCTGCAGAGGTACTATTTTCTACTATGATATGTATAAATTGCAGCACATTTCAAGATTACTGAAAGTACTATGAGAATATACAGCACACACTTACTGGAACGTTAAAAATCACCTCCTGATGTAATGTCATTCATCTAACTTCTTATATTGACTGTAATATTCTCCCAGCAAAAACTGGACATTTTCTTGAAGAAAAATGAGTAACTGAAGAAGATGACTACCATTAAAAAACATTTTTTTCTGACAGACTCAATTATTGGTTTGTTGACATATAAAACTGGGATTTTTTTAATCAAAATTCTGCTTATCTACAGCTTCTTAATTTTTCTCTTTTGATTATATACAGGACATAAAAAACCTCCAATTCCTCTAGGTTTAGTATTACTTTATAAAATAATTTTATAGAAAATTTAGAAAAAGTAACTGGAAACAAAAGCAACAAAAGATGAGAGGAGAAGATCAAGTAACCATTTAAATTACCCTAAAGTTTTACTTGGTGTTTCAAAATTATTTTAATTCACCTATAATGTATAAACTTTCCATGATTTCACTTCATCATAATTATAATTGCTAAACAGCTTTTACAGACATGAAATAAACAGAAAAAAAAGAGAAACGCATCAGTGGGTTAAAGCATAATTCCCTCACCTTGCACTTTCAAATTATCCAGTTTTATTACCTAATGACAAGAGGCTCTAAAAAGGTTTAATTTCTGACTGTATTCTACACCACCTTATCAGCTTTCTTTGCTGATAAGTTTTTATGATCAAAACTGTTGTTTTTAAAATATAGATTTAAAAATAGAGGTCATTAAGAGAGGACAGACAGCATTCCACCAGAAATGCTCACTTGGTAGAATTTAGCAGCCTAAAAGTAAGGTTGATTTCTCAAAACCTTTTGAGAGAAACAAAAGATGTGGGCAATTGACACCAAACTTCTCAGCCTATCTCTTCTGCCGTAGCTGGTTCTTCAGATGGCCAGATCATTAGTCCTCCATGTAACCAGGTGTGCTTCAACTCCCAGCTCCATCTGAGTTCTAACTGTGGGCTACTTTTATCATGCCTGTAATAACAAGGTCTTGATAATATTTTTGCTTATAATCAAGCATGCTACATTAATACCCAATGGAAGGTATGGGATTAAAATTTATTGAGAACAGTGATGATCAAAGAAAAGAAGCCTGTTCCAGACAAGGTTGTCAACAGTGAAAATGAGTACCAAGCATAGATGTCCCTCCAGAGGCTTCCTGAACATGCATGGATCCAAGTTCTATTTTTTTAATTGAATTTGAATTCCAAGTGTAACCGTAAAACACTCCAGAGACATAACTAAGACAGTTCCAAAACAGGGAAAGGGTTCTGAAGGAAACAACTTAAAGGTAGAAAAAGAAGAAAATTATTTCCAGTGGGACTTTTTTAAAGTCACTAAGTGATAAGAAACAAGAAAAGGAAAGCTGTCCCAGATATCTAGGACTGCAGAGATGAGAAAGGAAACAGAATGAGAACACACTGGCAGAAGACATATCTCTGAGGTACTAGAGACAGACAGCTGAAGTCTCTAAAGGAAGAAATTTTGCTGTTGCGATGCTGAGCCACAAATGCTCTAATTTTGAATTGGCAAGCACTGCAAATGGGATCTTGGCATGTGTCAACTTGCAGCATGCAAACATCAGCAAGCCTCAGGGTCCCCGTGTCGCTGTCAACGACGAATACCGGTTTCTAAAGGTTGGCCTGATGCCTCCCACCCTTTAAACAACAACAGACGACAGCAAGCAGTAGGGTGTTTTCTCCCTTATTTTTTAACTTTCTGCAGGTGGCAGCTCTTAAGTGTGCCCGAACCCGGCCTCGGCATCCCCCGCCCTGCGGCACACCCCGCACGGGTCCGGGCCCTGCCGGCACCGAGCACCCCGCTCCACGGAGCGTACTGGGACCTCCACGTCGGAGCTCGAGGAGAGCAGGGAAAAGCCGGGAGGAGCCGCCCCCGGGGCGGGCACGGATCCTGCCAGCGGGTCTGCCCCGCCGGGACCGCCCCTGCTCCCCGCCAGGAGCTCAGCCACAGCCCGGCCCGCCCCGACCCAGGGGACGCTTCATTCCCTCGCTTTTCCCGCCCCTGTTCCTGTTCCTGACCCTGGCCCCGTTCCCGCACGGTTTCTGTCCCTGCTCCCCTCCCCGTCCCAGTCCCCGGGGCGCGTGCGCGGGCGCGCGGGGCGGAGGGGACCGAAGCAGCCGGCGCGCGTGCGCGCGCTGCCGGGCACGCGCAGTTTGCATGCGGCGCGCGAGGCGGGCGGAAGTGGCGGCAGGGTCGCGCAGGGCGCTGGGAGTTTCTCCGCGGGCTCCGAGAGCGCTGAGGAGAAGCTTCTGTTGTTGGAGCGTCCGTGCGAACGCGTCCGAGATCTCGGCTTTAGAGGTCTCGGTTTCTTGCGGCCGACCGTTTGGCTCTCTGAAGCCCTTAGTTCACGTCTCGAGAGGATCCGCGGTGTAACCCGGTCTGCCCGAAGTCTCTCTGGTTTCCAGCGGGTTGGTGCTTCCTAGAGCTTGAAATACTGTTGAGATAGTGGCTGTGCAAGAATCCACTTTCCTCAGGTACCGTTTGATTGTGGCCTCTTTTGCATAATACCAGATTAGTAAATTTTAATGTGAAATAAAGGCGATTTATTTTGATGTTTTTTGGTCTGTTTGCTTTGGTTTGGGGATTGTGGGTTGGTTTTTTGGTTTATTTGTTTGTTTTGGTGGTTTGGTTTTTGGTGAGGTTTTTTTGAGAATTCTGGTTGTACTCTAGTGAAAGTAAGTATAGGCTAGGACTTATTTCCAAAACATAAGTACCTGAAGATCTGCAACAAGAGCAAGTTGAAGCCTTGCAGCTAAGGAAATTAAATGTGTTGTGCTAGTAACTTGGTTTCTTCTGTTTTAGTTAACTGAAAGTTCTTATTTTCTCCTCATGATAATTCTCAAGGACATCGTAAGTTACACGATGAGACTCTTACAGAAATTCAGACTACACATTTTGTTCATTTAGGGCCCTCTTGGTTTCACTAAGACTACTGTCTGACAAAAGATTTCTCTTGTCACTGCAGGTTAAGTTTAAGGTAGTTCCGTGTTGTCTACTTTGTTCAAGTTATAAATGTTCATTTTTATGAGAAAATTTTTCATAAACTATAGTAAGAGTGTACGACTGTGTCCACACATATGTGCTTCTAAAATGACACATTACTTACGTCATAATTGTTTTAACTTTTGCACAGTTAGTCTGGGTATTGCACTGACTTGTATTTGTATTTACAGGGGCTTCAGATATCGACCGCTGTGACTGACCACGTCAATTAGATGCTGATGCTTGTGGCTATTCCTTCATTCTTCACGAAACTGTGGTGAGGTTTCATCCAGAAGTCCACACAATCATGTGGTTTATTCTTTGATTTGGAGAATGAATCTATGTGTCCCCTGCAAGTAGGATCTGTTTTGATGGATGAGGAATTTCCTCATGACTTTGACTAGTGCAGTGTCCTTTTCCCAAAAAGACATTCATCCTTTTTATGTCATTTTTGTGTATGACTGAAGTATTTCTTGGTTGTAGAGCAGGGAGTAAACTTTTCAATTTACCTCTGACTTGTGTTTTCTTTGCTTTTCCACTCCAAAGCTAATTTCTCGTTAGTTCTTGAAGAAAAGTTGTGTTCTAGAGGAGACTACAAAGGAATAGTCTGTTTCTTGTAGTGAGAACTAGAGTCAGGACCCAATAATGTGTATCTTTATCTCAAACAAAGGCTTAAATGCTAAATGGGTCTGAGTAATCCAGGCAGAGAGGTGTTACTTACTTGGTATCCTGTGGACTAGATTGATGTATTATGATGATCCACCATAAGAGAAGAACAGAGCTAACTTTGACTTCCTCCTCAACTAATTCTGGAGTCAAGGTAGAGAATATGCTTATTTTTCAGTTTTGCTTTTTCAGGATTAAGTACTTGCAATTTTTTACATTAGAATTCTGTTGTCTATAATATTTATATTTTTCTTTTTGCAGTATGAAGTAAAAGTGGTAAAGCTTATCTTGCAGTTTATTTATAATTTAGGATGCTAATAGAGGCTTTTTTTTTTTTTTTCTTGTTTTAAGTATGTCTTGAATTTTTACTGAAGAAAATACCAGAATTACAATGTTTTAAAGAACTAGACTTGAAAGACATATGTCTTCAAATATATGAAATCTACAATGGGACATCATTTCATTACTAGTGAAATGACTTCTTTCAATTTGTTATAATCTGGTAAAGTTCAGTTATTCTTCACTGAATCCTAGTGATTCTCATTGTGCAAAAGAATTCTGCAACTTCTGTATTCAGAATGTACATGGAACGATTCCTGGTTCTAGCAGGAGGTCAGCTTGGACCATCTGTCATAGCTAATAAAATGTTTTTCACTGCTAGAATGTTCTTTCTGCTTTAGACAATTATAGGGCATGTTGATACCTTTAGTTTAACATTGTCCTTTCATGCCGATGTCTTTATATACTGAGCGTGCTACCTACAGCTTCTGGTAGTGAATTGTTTTCGAAAGTTTGTACTGCTTTACTATGTTAATTTCTGTACAAAATTTGGCTTTTCATGTTGCATAGATAATCAGGGAGGAAGGGGAGAAACAGTGATGAGTTGTCTTTATGGTAAGAACATGTTAGCTTTTTCCATGTAGCTTATTTTTCTCCTGTTGCTGTCCTTCAGTTATATTGCACTGGTGTTGATGTCAACAGTTCTGTAGTGTTTGTGGCTGTGTGATGTTAACTTCACTTGCAGCTGTAGCTTGTGGTTTTTTAATGATTTTTAGTGTTCACTGAGGGTGGTTTAACTGATTTTGAGAGTTTAGATTCTGATGTTTTTCCAAACATAATTTAAGATTTTTTTTTTAAATTAAAGTGAAAGATAAAAAAGTCTAGAGAAAAAAGAAGTAAGGCTTCATAAAGACTTAAATGGTCAAGTTCTTCCTACCACTCTATTTTGCAGTGCAAGGCTCAAAAATTGTAGTCTTTAGAAGCCACTCTTAAGTGCATAGATCTTTGGGTTTATGCTTCAGTTTTAAACACTGAAGTTACCACGACTCTCAGAGCATGTATCTGGGCTGTGCTGGACCTAAAAGGAAATGCTTGTTTTTATTTTTTTTTCTTTGTGTGGGAACTAATGAAAAGATTGTGAACCTGAAAGCTTTTCAAGTGTCTGTGCATGCAACCCAAACAATACCTAGGTGACTAATTCAAATCTGTGAATGTTTGTACTCTCAAACTGCAAGTGAGAAGGATGGGGTCAAGTTCCTCAGAAATACAGAAATTTTTCTCTAGCTCCTGGACCTAGAGAAAGAGGGATTCTTTGACTGCAATATTTTGGTGGAATAATGTCCTCATTCCAGAAAAAAAAAATTACTGCTTCTTTCTGTTGAAGGTTAATCCTTATTCAAAGCCATTCCTACTTAGCAATTGTTTTCTGGTGTACTGTAGTTTGAGTTTTATGCTTTTGAAATATATACTACTATTCTGTAGGCAACTAAGACAATTATTGTATTGAGGTAGATTGTTCCACTGTCTGAAATTTAAGGTCTAGAAAATTTGTAGGTAGAATGGCAAGAACAGGGCAGAGCAGCACATGAGAGTTAAGCCCACAGCATCCTCAGTGTTGTATTTCACTTAAGCAAGTGAGATATATCACATTGTCATTGGGGGTGTTGACTGGTGGGTTACATCCTATATACAGTATGCAGTCTGTACATCCTGTCTAGTTTCTCGTCCAGTGTAGATCCTTTCATACAATTCTTTGTTTGTTAAAATCATTAAGCTTTTTGGTTGCTCCCTCGTCATATTTTTGTCACTTTAATTACTGGAAGGCAAAAGGTATTTGTAGTTCACAACCTTCCTTCTTCACTGTGTGCATGTACTGTGTGTCCTTCCTCTTCCAGGAGTGTCCATGATGCTGTCTACTCTTCTCGCAGTCTCTGTTGGTATTATTTGGGTTTTTTTAACTACCCATCCTTATGAATAGCTCTGTTTACACCACTTAGAGGCTTTTTGAGCAGCAGGCTCAAGTTGGAATAATTCTTGTCAGTGTTATAGTCAGTATTTTGAGAACAACAAAGATACTTGACAGACTTACTTTCACTTATTTGACTGTCAGGAGAGTTGTGAACACCAAGAACAGCACTAACAGTATCTTCATGTAGATTTGGGAAACCATTGCCTATCAGTTTATTTTTGAAAATTTACTTTTATGGCTCTTTGAGCTGCATACTGATGTCCTAGTTTTTTAATTGCAGAGAACAAGAATCTGGGAGCCTCAACAGTTAAACCAGTTAGCAGTTAAAACCCATGGCCTTAGTTTTATATATACAAAAGTTTAAGATCTGGGAAAAAATCCACTTGTTTTGTACCTGAATATTATTTACATAAATAAGTTGTAGGAGTGTACAGCAGGTAAATAATATGGGCAGGTCCCACTGCATCAACCTACATATGGCTTCATTTTAGAAATTCTCCTTTGTAATCTTGAAGGCACATATGGAATATTTGTCCCATTGAAATAAGTGTCGAGAGCTCTTTTTAAATGAAAGGATAGGAACTACAGAATTGATGGTAGTCATCAGAGAGATACCTCAGCTGCTTTCTTTGCTTTGTTTTAACGGTGATGTTTGAATTATAACAAAATGCTCTGTGTTGCTAGATATCTTTATGGGGAAGAAAAAAACCACAAACAGAGAAGTCTATTTAATTGCTCAAGCACTGTAACAGAAAGAAATAGGAAAAAAAAAAGTGTTAATCTGTTATGTTGTATATCTCCCTAGCTCATTATACTGTTGCTGGATGAAGATCAATATTGCTGATTAACTTTGAAGTTGATTCTTTCTAGGTGGAATAGATCAGCTTCTCAGCCTGTTAGAAAAAAGTGTGAAGTAGATACTTTGAACTGAAAAACTGTATAAATCTTCTAGTTGCTCTTTTCACTAGAGGCTTGGAATCCTAGTAAGCTAATGACAGTACTCTCCCGGTTGGTGTTAGATACATTTTTAGCCTCAGCGACATTTCACAGAAATTGTACCTCTTAACACCTCACTAGGTAAAGCAGTCAACAGTGACAGAACAGCATCTGCCCCTCTGTAGCAGGCTGTGACCTCTCCTTCAGCTCAAGTACAAATTGAAACCTGTCCGGTGTTGTATCTCCCAGCTTTGTGCTGTTCTGGATTGACACTGGCTGGAATCCTGGTGCCCACCAAAACCACTGTGTCATTCCCTTCAGGAGGACAGGGGAGAGAAAATACAACTAAAAGTTTGGGGGGTGAGACAGGGAGATCACTCACCAGTTACATCTATGGGCAAAAGAGACACAAAAAAACTAATTTAACTTATTGTTGATCAAATCAGGCTAGGATAATGAGAAGTAAGAAAAAATCTAAAACCACCTTTCCCCCACTTCTCCCATCTTCTGAGCTGAGCTCCACTCCCAGCTACTCTACCTCCTTCTCCTGAGAAATGCTTGGGACAGAGAAAGGGGATTGTGGCCCTTTCATCTCTACCACTCCTTCCTCCTCATGTAAATTGGAAGCTAGGAAAAACAAAAGCCAGTCATCCTATGTATAGTCATTTTGACTGAGAGATCCTTGAACTGAAGTATTTTATTTCACAGAATTCTTGTTTAGTGACTGTGACTTCTTGCTAATATCTGTTAGACAAGGGGAATTTCCTGGAAAATGGAGAAGGAGAAAGAAAGATCCTTCATAACTAGAGAAATAGTCGTGAGCAAATAGTGAAGTCTCATATCTTTAGATACTGGAATGAGAGGTGGATTTTTGATTTTTCTGAAGAATAAGGTGCTTTTTTAAAGGATATCTGTAATGTTGCCATAAGCACCTATATGAAGGGACTCATGTTTCTAACTTGTGATCTTTCCATTTTGCAATGGTTTCCCAATTCCAATTCATTATAACTGAATATTTTGTAAGAATTCAGTCTGTCTAGCACTGAAAAAGCACTTTTGAACTGAATTTGAAGTGTAGTTTTAGCTTTTATTGAGTAGAATACCCAGGGTTTGTGTCCATTTGAAAGTATAGGAAATACGTTTTTTTTCTGTTCTTCATGGTCATATAAAACCGTCATTGCTAAAACTCTGTCTGAAATTGGGATTGTGGCTATAATACTGCCAGCTGAATTTTAGGAAACAGATAGCATTTTTTCTTAGTTTATTAAGATGTACTTAAACAGAAGATTTATAATGCTGTGGCTTTTATGCTGATACCCACTTGAAATAAAAATTGTACAGCAAAAAAAGCAAAGATACCCCAAGAAGAATGAGAAAATATAGTAATAACTACTCATTGCTAGATCGCTTCTTTCTGTTTCTCATATGTGTAACTTCACTGTAATAGACTATTCTTCCTATTCCCAATTCTCAGCATTATAACACTACCACCAAAAATCTACTTCATTGACTTTGAGCACAGCAAGTAAGCAGTAGTCAACACAGTTGCACATTTTTTAGCTTTTTCCCAGTGTGTTCCATGTTTAGCAGCTGTAGATGCCCATCTTATATTCTTTATTATTTTTTCATTGCTGGAAAATTGATGAAAATTTTGAAATCTGTACGTGAGCTTTTTTTTCATTATAAATTGATAGATGTTTTATTTTCATGCAGTCACATTTTCTTATAGGGAAGCAATTGAATATAAACACTGTCTATCCATGACCTTATGCTGAGGAAGAAGTCTCTTCTTGGTTTGTATTTCTGTATATAAAATATTAACATTGTTTACATTGCCCTTTTGCATTTATATGTAAAGGAATATTTTCTTACCACTTGTAGTGTTTTGGAATACTTGAAAAATTAAGTAATTTGGATGACTATCTGTTGCCAAGGAAGTGTTACTTTCTCTCTTCTTGCCATTTATGATACTAAGAGACAAGATCAATCCCTCTGAAAATTCTTAGTCTTACATAATTAAACTTTCCTGTTATGAAATAGATAAATATTCCCATTCTGAGTAAACTGCAACCTCTAGTAACTTTTAATTTGAACAAGATGACTATCTTCAGAACTCTTTATAATTTTTTATTTAGATAGAGCAGCTATGCCCGTTCAGTTGCTGAAGATTGTGAAAGAACAATCTGAGATTCCACTGCCAAGCCATTTGCAAAATGAGGATTTGAAACACTTGCAAGAAGGCTGTGATCATACCAACAAATATATTCAGGTAACTTATTAAAAACTTTTGTCTTATTTTGAAATAGCTCCTGTTACATTTACAAGGCACCCTCCATATTCCAACTCAGGTGGAGAGATTCTGCAACTCTGTGTCTTTGTGTGCATCTGTTTCATATCTGAAAGCAATGAAAAATTATGACCTTGTTGAACTTCACTGCCTGTTGCTAATGCCTTCATTGATTCATAGTCCTGCCTCTTTCTGTTACATTATCAGACTGAAATTTTATAAGAGGTTTTGTTTTCATAGTTTATAAACTGTTGACCCATTTAAAAACACATTAACATGCAGAATGTTGTGCTGAAAATGGATGGATTGTGGTAGGTCAAATGGTACTTTGTTTTAAAAAAATATTAATAAGCACCTCCATCCTGTTAAAATATCAGATTTCAGAGTAAAACTTTCTAAAGCGGTTCTCCCTTTGTATTGAGCAATGCAGCTTTATGAAAAGAAGAATTTGTAACAACTACCACCATCAAGATACTATTGGGTTTTTTATCATTACCATCACTTACGTTGTACAATAATCCCAAATGTATTTCAGACTGGAAGTACAATCCTGCTATACTAGTGAAATGCAGAAATAGTTTTTCTTACCTAACGCACGTATTCTCTGTAAAATGCAGTGTCAATTCTCTAGGGTGTTCTTTTTTATCCTGTTTAACTTTTTTTTTCCATGGCTCTTTTTAGTCATCCCTGATGCTTAAGTGTCAGAAAATAGCATTAATTGAGGCTTGCTTTCAGTCTGTTACCAAAAAAAAAAAAACGAGGAAAAAGAAATTAAAGCAAGCTAACTCTGTAGAAAACCTTGGGTGTCTCGAATCCTTAAAAATTGGCACAAACATTTAAAAAAATATAAGCTGAACAGGTTTAATATTTTTCTGTATCTGAAAAATATTTTCATTTCTCCAGTTCTGTATTTCCAATTCCAGCTCTAGTGCTTATCTGACCTTGTGTTTGAGTCCATTCATGAGAAATAAACTGGCAGAAGACTATCCATAACAATGGAGTGAGAGATGATAGTTTGCTGCTCTCACTCTCTGCACTGGATCATTGTGGTGTTGAAGAGATGCCAAGAGTACTGCGCTTAGGTATAGCAAAGGAACAAAACTACCCTATTTGGAAGCAGGCAGTAGTTGAGCGTGATAGGAGATGATTTGATTCAGAATGATCCAGCCTCGCTTAGGTCTTGTAAAGAAATGAATGGAAACATCAATAACCAATGCTGCTGGCAAACAGGAGTTTTATTCCTCAGGGTGTAGTTTCCTATCCCTGTTCACTGGCAGGATATATAGGCGTTCCTACTTTGAAGAACTTTGTCTGCAAGCAGCCTTGACATGGAAGAACATGGATTCTTGTTCAGAACAAAATGGTGAAGGAGACGAAAATGGATTATAAATTCAAAAATGTTTCTGCTGAAATAAATGTTTCCATTAGGAAAGCAGAGCAATGATTACCAGACTATGATTTAAAGCGTATATGCAGTGCTGTTGCTGAAAGGAAAAATGTGTCTTTCTCAGACTTCTGCCTTATGTTAAGAGAACATGCTGCTGCTGACACGGATTACTAGGTGATTAAAACAGCTTGGCATAAAAACAGTGCAGCTGGAGAGCTGATAAAACTGGTGCTAATGCAGCATTAAATATGTAGGAAAATCCATTTCTGCAGTCTGAGCTTGAAGTGAACCTTAGAATACACTGATGTTAGATTATCTTAGTGGTGGCACAGCACACTTATTCTAGAATGCCAAAATAGGGATCATATCTTGCTTTGACAAAGGAGGAAGGGCAGATGAGGATTTTTATGAAGGGTGTTCTGGGAAAAAAGGAACAAAAAACATTTGATATGCTTTTGTCTGGCTTGTGTACCTCAGTCCTGTCATTCTTCTGAAACTTTTTTTCTTCCTGACATCCCTCTGAGAAATGCAGATTTTAAATTTGTGGAACAACAGCATAAGCAATGTTCGTACATCCTCAGACATAATGTCTGTTAAGTAAACGTGATGCCTTCTCCCATTAGTTCATCATCCTCTGGATTTTGCTCTGACAAAGATGAAAATCAGCTGCCAAATCAGCTATGGGAGCAGACTGAGGGGCGAGGCCTGAGAAGGAAGGAGACAGAGTCACTAGAGGAATTGCACATAGTCAGTGAGTCTAGTAGCATATGGAATGTGAAGGGTTTTGGAAGAAGTTTGCTTATGAACTCAATAAGCAGTGCAGGATTTGTGGGGGAAGAGTCAATTTGAGCAAGTTTTGTGAAGATAAGTTTTATTGGATTTTGGAGCCCATGTGTCTTGAGCGTGTGGAGAAAGCGGTGGGTAGGTGGTATGTCTGCTGAGGATGATAACTAAAGCGTAGGTGTTTGGGATACAAAAGAAAGTGTTAGGACCAGACTATTATAGCAAAAAATGTGGTTCCAGAATTTGAAAACTCTATGGAATATACTGGGATGTGAAAGGAAAAAAATAAAAAGCAAAGATAGTCAGAAAGCACTCACTATCTCATCAGTGTCTTCTGCTTGTAAATAGCATGCTAAATTTCCTAGGTGACTGTTTCATTGCAAAGACATTATTACAAGAAAAAAAAATTGTAGTCTTTTATTTACCTGAGTACAGTTCAAGAGAATCTCAGCAAGAACAATTACATATATTAATTGAAATTTTAAACAAAGTTGTAGTTTTGAAACCAAGTGACAAACCTTTCTGGTTTTAACAGGTAAGTTCCTGCTTTTCACAGAGATGACTAATGAGTTTTAAGTGTCAAATTATTTTAAAAATCAGCATCTGCAAAATAATGTTGAGGTTTTGTGGAGTCTTAGTATTTCTTTATAAAACCAGTAGTAAAATGTTGTTGAATTTGATTTGAATTCCTGATTTGGTTTTATCTTTACTGTGATTTTTATTTTGATATTCATGTTGTAATCCTTTGCCAATATCTTTTGGAGAATTTGCTGTATCTTTTAAGATTTTGATCACTACCTCTTTAGATGGCTTTCAGGTTTTGTGCTGAAACTGTAGCCTTTTATGCTATTATTGTAACTAATAAAAGTTACATATATAGTTCCATAGCTATTGTTGTTTCATATAAGTTTATCATGTAGTCATTAGCATCTAAGTAGTATTGGCATATAATATTTTCTTTATTGTATCTCAAGAATGTTGCTTTTCAGTTCTGTTTTTAGCAGTTCATAATAATTTTTTTTCAAGAATTCAGATAGGAATTTGCACTGAACACTTAACTTCTACCTTTTTTTAACTTACAAATGTTTCAGCTGTTACCAGTGTTTTAGTAACCTAGAAGCATATAGTCTTAGTTCACAATATTTTATTTTTGTTTTTTAGGGAATAGTTGTTCTTTCCTACCCATTAACAAAACTCAGAGATGGGACAGACTTTTTCAAGATTGTTCTTCAAGGTACTACATTTAAGTATACATTTTAAATTTACGGTATTACATCAGTGTGTGTATAGTTTTTAGTAAAATGTTATACTTAAAATGTTCTCTAAAAGTGTTCATTCTCTACAAAAAAAGTTTAAGATAAACTTATACCAAGTAAATTAATGGAAACAATACAGTCTTTATATTTTAGTAGACCTCTTGTTCATAATCTTTTAAAATACTGTCCTGGAAATGTATTAGCTATATATACAGCTTTAATAGTGTATTTTCAAACTGCTTATCGTAAAGAAGGACTAAGAAAACTGCATACATAATAGTTAGCACACAATATACATAGCATATACTATGTAAGAGAACATTTAATATAGGTCAGTATGTTGATTAGCAGCAAAATGGTTGTGTTTCATTCTGTTTTAATATAAGCAGTTAAAAAAAATTGAATTTCACCTGATTACTCAAGTATTTGAATATCAGATAATGTAGAACCTTGAAAGATCTAAATTGTTCATTGTGTAGTAATTAATACTAAAAATAACATGTTCCTTTTAAGTTTAAAACTCATACCCCCTCCAACCAGGAAGGTGGAGATGTAATTTGTCAGGTGTCTGTTGGATTCAAGGAACTCTTCATTTCCTGCTATTTCATACTCAGCTTATTCCTTACAGTGGCTAGAAAACCATCAATTGCTCCCTTTGAGTCTCCTAATTCCTGTGACTGAGCAGCAGGCTCAGATCTGCCTGGGAGGCAGATCCTGCCTGGTGATACTGCTTGTGACCTGTGTTAGCAGAGGTGAATGAAGTTGATGGGACTTAAGTCCCTGCCGGCTTCAGGGTTCTCTGAAGGATGCTAATCCTCCCTGAATCTTGCTAATTTCGTGTGACTGTTCAGGAGGAGGAAGGAGTTTCTACACATTCTCCACAACCTGGAAACATAAGTTTGCACTACTAAATCATTAACGTTGTTTCTGAAACAGTGAAAAGTAGAAAACTCTTTTAAAGTAACAACATAATTTCAGCTTCAGTCCTTTGGGAAGGCTATTAATTGATATGTTGATGTCCTGGAATATCTTCAGTTTATGAGTTCTACAATGGGGTCTTTGTTAATGTGAAAAATCAAATATGACTGAGTAATATTTCCTCTTTAACAATATACACTCAATTGTCCAAGTGGAAATCTTTGTCATTTCTACGTAATGTGTACTGATGTACAACACGTGCACATTTTAAGTGGTCCTCTTATGAAGAATATTCTGAGCAATATACCTATAGTTAGCACATAAAAGCAGTTGTATAACTATTTGAAAAGATTTTCTATTTGTAGATTAATTGAAATGAAAGTGTTAGACTCTGTAGATTAACTTGTTTTGTAAATTGCTTCCCAATTCTCTTTTGTTTTGCAGAAGGAATGGTAATAGGACTCACTTCTGCTTTTTATACTCTAGGTTTGGATGACTTGTGTTCCCGGATGAACAGCATCAATATTTTAATATATGGAAAAATGGCAGAGGATTGTGCAAAAGTTATACGCCACGGGGTAACAACAAACAAAAACCATATTCTTATTTTAGGAATTGTTTTTCACAGCCGTGTGTTGACTTGTCTTGTCATTGTCTGCCTATCACTAAAATTAGAAATAGTCTGTTTAGTTGCTTCAAATCTATAAATATGAACTAGAAAAAAATTTGCTTACATAAATTCTTTCTTACAGTAATATTAAAATAGAGCAAGTCTATTTGTCAGTGCTGTTTACCTAAAAAGTAAAGGATCATGAATACAAATAATAGGGAAGTCTTCCACTTATGTTAATATTTTGAATGGTTTACCATTTGATAAGATAGATTTTAGAATTTAATTCATTTAAAAGACAATTAGACTGAAGTCTTTTTTTAGAAAAAATAATTAAATTCAAAACTATGCATACAGTTTTCTTCATTGGCTGGGTACTGGTGTTGTGCTCTGTCAGGGATAAAAACTTGGTTTGATTAGCTCCAGGATAAAGGACTTTGACAAGTCCTCAGCCTGTGAGTTTGTGAGACATGGTTCTGCAACTAAAGAAGGAAAACAAGATAAAAATGATTACTTCAACTTAATATTTTTTATTAGATTGCCTGTCAGTTTGCTGACATTTCAGTATTAGCCAGATGTCAATTTAAAATCAGTATACAATATATTATGAACTCATGTTAGTGTGTTTTCATTTCTGATATGCATTCCCACTAAATCATAGAATAGTTTGGACTGGAAGGCACCATTAGAGATTATTCAGTTGCAACCTACCCTTCCATGGGCAGGGACAACTTTCCCTACACTGGCTTGCTCCAAAGCCCCATCCAACCTAATTTTGATCACTTCCAATGATGGGGCATCCACAACTTCTCTGGGCAAATTACAGTCTTTTTTACCGATTTCTCAATTCCACGGAATTTTGACAGTGAAGGCAGGAAGGGAAGTTCTTGAACTAATTTGCTGAACATACAAGCTGCAGAATCTTTTTACATTCAAAGAACAAATCACTTTTGTCCTGATAAAAATACAAATTGTAAACAAGGCACTAAGCAGCAATTAGAAGATAAAAAGATCAGTGCTAAAGAGCTGAGTAGGAAACCACAATGCACAGGCAACATCCCTTAGATGGCCAGAGTGTGCTAAAAACAGAGTTTGTTCTTCCACAGTGAACTGAACCTTCACAGTGCTTTCCACATGTCTCAAATGATCTTTTAATTTTGGAAGAACCTAAACATGAGGAAACAATGATTTCTGAAACTAACAGAGTTGCAGTTCAACAATTATGGACTAGATTTAATTTTAAAACACCACAATTTTTAGCTGTTAAAGAGTTACTTCAGTGAAGTCCAGTATTTTCTGTTGTTTGCTTGCAATTTCAAATTTTAGTGTTTTGTAATTTCCATATCGTTCTTGTCATACTGTAACAACTTTAGCTAAGTAACCTAGGGGGAGGGAGGAGCAGGCTATTTCCAAAAATGTGAGTAACCATGTTGTCTCCCAAGAGTCTTCTCATTCTGTAACAGAATAAGCATCAGGAAAAATATTATCCTTCCTGTATTTCACAGTTTTTGAATGAGGGGAATAGGATTTCTTTCCACTGTTTAAAAATGTTGGTCGAATCTGATAGTTTACCTATATATGCAATATAATACTCTTCTGCTGAAAATCCACCAATTTATGTAAATAGCTTTGATCCCTAAGGCAATTATGAGAATTTCTTAGGTAAAGGTGAAATGGAAATTAATTGATATTGAAAACAAATATAGCATTAAATTTCAAAGCACTATGCAGATATTACAAAAATTTTTTCGTATTTAGAAACTGTAAGTAACAACCTGTTAAAATTGACTGTGAATTTGTAACAAATCTGAGAATATACCTGATCTTTGTCCTAGTATAACTAAATTTTGAGGTTTGTACTGTCTTTTTTTCCTCATGGAAATTGCACATCCTTTCAAAGGTTTTTTTGGGTTTTTGTATGTCATGATACATATAGCATATGTACTACATGAGAGTAATAACTAGTGATTAATTCACAAAAAAGTTTCCATTTATTATCAACTTGTATACAGGCTGAGTCTATGCAATTCTGAAGTTCCTTCTGACACAGGAGAACAGGACAAGTCAAGTCAGCTTGTACAGAGCTCCACTCCTGACTCAGCAACCAAGTCACAGAATCTTATGCAACCTACAATCTAACAAAATGCTGAAGTGGGAATAATGTATGGCAAGGCATAGCTTTTTAGCTGAAAGTTGATTTTACTGTTGAAGGAACATCCTGGGTAACATTAGCAACAGTGAAAGGAAAGACACATACAAAAGAGTTTCCTGAAGCTTGCATTTGTGTGGTTTTGTATCTGGAAAGAATGAAACAACTTTCATATATGTTAGCAGGGTGGTGTGTTCAAAGGTTCAAGGCATACTGAGTTATCCAATTGTTTTGACACATTTTAACTTAGCTCTGAGTGTGGCTTACTTCTAGGTGACTTCCTAGTACTTTCTAGACAAAATAGACATTGTATTCCCATTTATGACGCTACCTAAAAATCACCATGCCCTAAGTAATTTCACTGTGTATTAAACTGTCTGATTAAACTTACAGTTTCTGCAAAAAATTTTTCTCTAGTGTTTTAATAACTAAATATATCATTGTCACTTGATCTAGCAGCTTTTCTTTCTCTTGCACAAAACATTAAGGGTTTGGATCTTAAATCATTTAGAGTAGCATTGTCAGATTGCTGAAATAGCAAAAAAAGAACCATCATACCACAGTATTTAGCTAAAACTGTCAACTGTAATCAAAACAGCTCTTTTATTTGTTGTAATCAAATAAACACATGAACAAAATTAATTCAGTAAAAGTTGATGGAACTGCTTTTGGTAGAAGGTTGAATAGAAATAGGGTCCAAGTTTAATATGTTTATTGGAGTGGATCACACTGTACAGGTCTGCTGTACAGTTCTGATAGCAAGAGAGCTGACTATAAAGGAATTTTACATTGTATCAGATACCTTTTTTTAGTCACATCTGATTTCCTAAATGTATTTTATGTATCTTCTATCTTCTCCCGCTTTTTTTTTTTTTAGTTGGTGAGGCTGCTGCTAAAAATGTGACTTGCTACTGGGACTTGAATCATGTACCTTTTAAATCCTCCTTTTCTTGTTCACTTTGTGATGTCTGAGGAACTTTATACCAAAGTGAACTTTATACTACAGTGAAAGTGCAGCTATAATTGCTTCATGTACCAGAATCTCAGCAGTTATGCCAGAGAAGTTCATAATGTCTCTTTTGCTACCGGAAACCTACCTATTGATTGACCCACCTATTTGACCCTTAAGGAAGAAATTGGAAGCTGTTGATCCAAACAAAATGGAAAATGTTTACAAGGAGAATTTTTTCAAAGTGCAGCTGTAACTCAGTGAGAAAGAAAGAAGCTCCAAGAAAAGGGGGTTTTGTCACTGCTGATTTCTTTTCTATCTTAGTTAAGCTTAATCAGAAAGGAGTCAGTCTTCAGTGTATTCAAAGAGAAATGATTCTTTTGCTTTATTCAGTGTGAATCTTCCCCTCTAGGCCTTGTCAGAAATAGCACTCAGTCACAGTAGCATCAAGAGTGCAAAAATTTTAGCAGAATTTGAAAAGAAAAAAACTTGCTGGCATTGGTTGGAAATATAAATTCCATGGGTAGAAGAGCTAAATTAGTTTTTACAATTTGTTTGGGATTTTTGTTTCTTCAGTGTCTTGAGACTTTAGGTGAAATTTCACGTCACATACATTTAAATTAGAGCATGTGATACAGTCTGTGTAATTTTCTGTTTATTATCCTGTCCCCATAGGACACCTTCATAGTTGCAGGATTTAAGGTGATAAAATCGCCTACAGCGAGGGAGGATGGTAGACATGGTTGTCACCTGGAGGTGTCTGAAGAAGCTGGATCAGACATTTATGTACGTGGGTACCCAACTTTTTTTCTTGTCTCCTCTCCCCCCCCCCCAAATACTAATATGAACATTTTGCTTTATAGTAGAAAAAACATAATATCTATTAGAAACTAAAATGCTACAGATCATTTTACCTTGTTCATCAGGAAATAGTCAAGACACTTTTATGTATGCGTGCATGTGTGATGCAGTTTTATAATAAACACTAACCAAATTATTTCCTGCTCAACTACTTGTTGAGTGCAGAAATTTGACTTTAGTTGGCTTTAGATAGATCCCTAGAGCTGCTTAAATCACTGTTCTGCATAATACATTTCAGTAATTCAGACAAGGTAGAGGGTACAAGAGTGGTTTCAGGTCTATAATTTTTAGTTTTCTTAGGACTATGGGTTTGTATTGCTTTAACTCACATCATTAGCCTTTGCCTTTGAAATACATCAATTCCTAAATTCTTAATTTTTGAAAGAGAATTTCACACTTTTTTCCTGAGTAAAATATTCATTCTTTTGTACTGTTCTCACATTATTGTTCATTTTTATCTGTATAGTTGTTGTCTAATTAAATTTTAAATTTAAGTATTTTTTTATTTTTAGGTTTTTGTGGGGTTTTGTTTTGTTTTGTTTTGTTTGTTTTGTTTGTTTGTTTTTTGGGTTTTTTGTTTGTTTGGGTTTTTTTAAATTTTTTTTATTTATTTCAGAAAGGCATTTTTATTTCAGAATTGACCTCTATAGAAAATTAAAGCTTGGCACACAGCTCAGTTAGAAACTAAATAATTTAAAATAGGAGTACAGACTGTTTCATGAAATTATCTGTTGATAGTGATGAAATATAGGTAAAATGAGTGTGTTTCATTGAAGATAATAGATAGCAAAACTGTGACCTGAATCTGACCAGGTGTGTCTAGAGTAAAAGTGCCTAAATTTTAGGAACTACAGGAGGCATTCAATTGAGCAAGACACCAGGATATACAGTCTAATCCCAAGGACTGTGAGCCACTCACTGGATGCCTGGTTGTGTTGAGGAGGTGTCTGTCTCATCACTGACCCCACAGTGGAGCTTGCAGTGCTTAATTTGCTGACACACTTTGTTGGATGCTTAACATTTAATACCAATGATCAGACTTTTTGTGTACTTCACTTTCTTAGTTGTGACTTTTCACTCGCCTGTTTAAAACAAAAAAAATGAAAGTAAAATTAGCTTCAGGAATGCAACTGAGGGTGGAGAGCAAATCCATATCCCTAACAGGAGTCTGCCCTGCAGGGACAATGCACAGCTGAGACATGGGACACTGTGTCTGGCAGACAGGTTGTGGTGTAGCATCGGGATGGCAGCTGAGCCCTGTGTTTCTCATAGTGAATGCGTTTTGTGTTGGCTTTTTGTAAAGTCACCAAGATTAATTCTTTAAAAGACCTTACACTGAACATAGATCTGGCTTATAAGTATGGCTCAAAAAGCTTAGAAACTATCTTTGAACAGAATTTATCTCATTCTGGTGAATTTGCTTTGACCTTTTTTTTTGATTTTATTTTCTCTGAAAGAAGTGTAACAAGTCACTGAGAGAAGATCTGCTCTAAACAATGAAGTGTAACAAGTCACTTGAGAGAAGATCTGCTCTAAACAATGTACAAAACCTAAACCCATTTGCATTCTATGTTAAGGCCAGAATAGTTTTAAATTTGTGACCTAGAACTTTCAAATGCTGTTCTACTAATATGAACTAACTTATATTCAACTCATACACTGTATGTATTATTTTGAAGTATCTTTTGTCTACTACTGTAACAACAGTAAATATTTTTTTCTTCTGTGGATAAAATTTTACTAGATTCAGAGGTGATTCATATAGCAAAATTGTCTGTAGGGCTGTTTTGTATTTGCTTATAGTGTTACATTTGCTTTAGAGTTATCAAATGTTGTTATATTTTCAGTGTCTTCAATGTCATAATCAGATTTACACTAAACCAAGAACAGCTACTGCTTCAGAAACTGCATTTGTGGTGAGTTTATATTTGGGATGTTTTTAAATCACATGAGACTAACTGTATGTAAATAAGAATGTGTGGAATTCATTTTTGTTCCTGTTTAATTTAGTTCCATGCTCTTAGCCCTGCAGTCACTTGTTTAGCTTGTTTAGTTTTTAATTTTGCAAATAATATACCTGGAACACAAAAGAAAATATGAAAAAGTAGTACATTTTCTATACTTGCAGTATAGTTGCCATGTCAGTCTCCAAACACACTGCATGTTGGTTTAGAAAATATGAACTAGAAAGGTAACTGTTGTTCTAAATAAGACTATATGCTTGTCCTTTTAAAAAAAGGAAATAAGGATCTTCCTTTGATTTAAAATCAGACTTCAGGCAGTGGTCTTAAAGTTTTGATTACTTTTTGGAATAAGCCTTTATGTTTCTAAATTAAAATTCTACAGGAAATAATATATTAAAGGCATAGAAATTGGTTTATGAAATTTTATTGGTCTTTATCATGACATTAAAGATTCAGCACCAATGATTATACAGCTTGTTTTCATGTTAATTTTTTTAAGAGTTGCATTTTTTCCTGTCAGTGTAGTAATTGAAAACCACAGTTATCAATCACTTTGACAGAACTCATATTTGTTGAAAAAGTCTAATTAGCATGTATTGCAACCTTAAGATAGAGGAGAATAGTCCTTAAACAGTAGAAACTAGTCCTTAACGTCGTTAATTCTCCAACAATTGTGCTATTTTAATCGGAAGATACGCACAGTGGCTGTGAGAGGTATAACTCCTCCCAACCCAAGACAAGGATTCTGTGCAGTGACACTGCCAATAAGAAATACAAAATTATTTATATATGTGCTTTTAAAAGCCCTTTCAATGGACATGTTAAAATGGATCAGTAAAAAGTTATGATTTGTTGTTTTTTATTATAATGACTTTTACTCACCTAGTTCATATATTGAAACTTACTTGAACTAACTGGTGGGTTGATTGTAAGGAAGATGCAATCACAAAAAGAAATTAAATGTCTTACGTGTTTTCTGAATCTAAAGTGAATAAATATAAAGAAATAGGTAACATAACATTTTTTTAAGATGAAATAAACATGTCTGAGGATGAATAATGTTTAAAGACAAAATTCTGTGTGAATGATTGAATAATTTTTCTTCTGTTTCCTCATTTTCTCATGCCCTTCCAGTCTATTGCTCCAAAATATGTGTATACTCCCCTGAATCAACTTAAAGATGGAACTATAGTGAATTTATATGGCGTTGTGAAATTCTTCAAGCCTCCGTATGTTAGCAAAGGCACTGGTATGTACTATATTCAAGAGATTTTAAATCTCTTACTCTGTTTGTTAAAAAACAACCAGAACAACAAATTCACATAATCTTTTGACTGTGGTTCTCAGCTAATATCAAGGAAACAGAACAAGAAATAGTTAAGGGATATCAGAGTCAGTTTAGGCAGAGTGGTAGAGATAGTATTAGCTTAATACTTTCTTCATTTGCTATCAGAGCAAAACAGGGACCTGTACCAAAAAAAAACAAAATAAAAAACCCTATACCTGTCCTTGTGGGAAAGGGTTCTTGTGTAGCTGTGTGCAATTTTTCCTTGAGGTTTTGACAAGTGTTATGATGTGCTACAAATGTAGCAGTGTATTTGTTATTTGTAAAATTGTGGAACAACTGAATATTTTTTCCCTATGAGGTGAACACATTATTTATTGTTTTAGTTTTGCTAGAAGATTGTGCCCTTTCACTAGGTGCTCAGTAAGCCTTTCCTCCTTCTAAATATAATTCTAATAAAACAAAATAAACCCAGATTATGATGGTGATTTTTTATTTTTATGGTCTTAATTACATGTGCAGGTCTCTTAAATAATGTCACTAGCTGTGAATTTAGCTTCTAAATACAGACATTTTAGAACATTAAATCAGAATCAAGAGTTAGGGGTTTGTCTGCAAAGCCTTTTGGGAACAGAGCTTTTTGATCTTGCTCAAAACCTGCCAGCAACAGTCTGAAGTTGATGAACTGAAGGCAGAGAGAGCACAGTGCTTGCTCCACCTCCAGTGGAGGTTTGCTTACAGTTCGGTAGCTTGAAACAGCTAAAAACTGCAAAAATACAGTTGCACAGCCAAAAAAAGTTCCAGTCCAAAATAAGGTTCAACTAATGGCTTCACTTTTTGAAGACCAAGCAGTCTTCATCCTTAGTTTGAATCAGTTTAGTGTTTGAGTGGGAGGAACATCTGGGGAGTCTGTGCAGGTCTGTGTCTGCCAACTTCAGTATGATCAGCTGAACTGTACTGGTATACTCTACACTGTGGGCATGCTTAATTACTTCCTTTTGGAGCATGTGGTATTCTTCTAGTTAAACAGATATACTGGTATGAAAGACCTTATTGACAGGAAATACTTGCTCCCACTTGTAGGGGAAGTGTGGCTTCACTGTACTTGTAGCGGCAGTTTGGTCCAGCACTTGTTCACAGAAAAGACAGGACGTGCATGTGCTGGTCCCTGGGCCATCATTCAGCAAGTGTCAACTGCACTGAAGGCAGCCAGCAGCCATTTTTAAGTTATGCAGAGCAGCATAGGATTTTTCAAGAATATATTAGATTAACTGAATAACTTTGGGGAACTCATCAGCATTTTTGCATAGTGTTGACTGTGTCAACAGAGAAACAACGTATGGGCAGCACTAGGGCCCAGTGTCCTTCTGTCTGCAGGACAACAGTGCTGTGCTTCCCATACAGTTAGTTGTGGAAATGTATTCCAATTACTCTTTCTTACAACAGTTGGCATGGCTTGCTCCTAGGAAACCTTTCTGCTCCATGTTCTTTATCATTGTTGAGAAGGTAGTAATGTTCCCCGAAATAACTCTGAAACATAAAAAACCCCAAGTCTGAAGAATATGGGATAATCAAATTTAAACATTAACATTTAAAAATAGATGTAGTCATTAAGTTGGGAACTGAGCCAGTAATGGTCCATCTGTTTTTATAGCAAATATAGTATATGTTTGGTTTTTTTCCTTGTGAGACTAAGTTAAACTGTGTATTATCATATTCTACATAGTCATTGATAACATTTTTGAAGATGAAATATTGTTTTGATTGGTTTGTATAGAAAAAAAAGCAAATTATAGTCATTAGGGAAAGGTATGGAAAAGAGAGATGTCACAGTTCAGAAAATAGTTGGTGTTTGATAATAACTGTAACCCAGTAAAAGCAGAGAAGTACAAATTCCAATTGTTTTACATTAGGAAAGTTACAACACAACAGATATTCCTAGAAGCAAATAAGGAATAATGGTAAGTGAAAGTACCTTGAGGAACTCAAGGCATTTAGACTTAGAAAACACAAAATTTGTTCTGACATCTAAATAGAAATGCAGATATTTGTAAGGTACTAAATTAAGTGTGTGCATGTTGGCTGTGAATATAGCAAATGTTTTAGCTGCAGTTAATACTTAAATATTAATGTAAATACAATGATAACCCAGTCTTTATGCCTTTTCAAACAGAAGGACCAAATTTAAGAGTTAACAAAACATTTTATTTGTGTGTGAGATCTTAACCACTGATACTCCTTCCTGCTTGATGTGCCATCAATCTGTAAAAATACTTCATTGTAAAGGTGCAAGTATAATCTTGACCTGTACAGAGCAGAGAGAAGTCATCTGGTATTTAATGTAAAAGACTGATAGATCTATTTTGAACAGGCTGCCAAACAACATCTGTCTGTCACTGTAGCAAGCTTCTCAAAATCTTAATTTTGTGGTGGTGTCTGGTAAGTGCTTTATCTGTAATAATCAAGGATATTAGCAGTGATCAGTGGAAGTTCTTTCCCCTTGAAAAATATTGTAGTTTAAGACTCAGACTTAAAAGCAAATAAACAAATGAAACAAACCCCACAAAATCTTCTAAAGGTTTTGTTTCATTTTTTGACATTACTGACATCAAAAAGAGTAAGAAGGGAATTAATCAAATACAGAAAGTACTACTTCTACTTTCTGAGTAAATCATGGAAGGGCAGTTCTTAAAGGATCACATGGTTGAGATTTGTCGTTTGTCCAGCTACTTTAGCAAGACTTTGGAGAACTGAGGACTTTGAACATCCTAAAGATGAGAACTGGTTGCTGGAAGTCATTAGGACAGCAATTTTTTCCAGATATGTAAAAACAATGAAGTTAAATGAATTGACTTTCAAGACAGGATGTCTCTGAAACAGCTAGGACAGATTATTGCAAGTTAGTTAATCACTTCAATTTCATAAGTAGTAGAAACTTAAGGGAAAATTATTATTTATTTTAACAACTGCTCTTTCTTGCATATATTAAGGCTTAAGACTGAAGCTTTGCACTGTGTTCCCACAAAGTGGGTACCACTGGAGTGGTACCTGGTGTTAGCTAGTTAAGCTTTGTTAGTTTAAATAATCTATAATTAAAATATTCATAATTTCTATTACCATTTTTGCATTAGATGAATGTTAAAGCACTGATGAAGAATGAGTTTTCAGTATGAGCATAAATTGTTTATTCCAGAGAAAGTTGTTTTAACTAAGAGTGCTTCAGCTCAAGACATAGTTTGAAATGTCTATACATGAGAACTTTGTGTTTTGAAAACTGTCCAAGGACGTACTTCCAGTCCTACTTGTTACAACAGACAGATGGGATTTTGTCTGCTAGATCTGTTACAAGTGTTCAAAACTATATTCTAACTTTTTTTCTCCAATAGTTTAAAAGTTTTAAGATACTTCACATCTTTAACAAAGGTGATTTTCTCCTCTCTCCGCTTCCTTAATCCCAAAGACATCTCAAGTATTTAACCTTGAGATTTACTGTAAAAACAGTCACTATGGGAGAAAAATGGCTTCTGTCTTTGTAGTGTCCAATTACAGAGATTATGTGCTTGACCATGAAAGTTATAGGACATTGCAACGTGACATTACTGCTTCCCCAAGTCTTTGTTTCATGTAGATATTAGGCAGTGTTTTTCATAATGCAAGGAAGAATTATAGCAAGAATAATCCTTGCTTCTGGTTAACACTAAGTCATAGAAGTAATGTCCTGTTTTCATGGGGAAATGGGGAAACCTCCATGTAGCTTGTTTTCTTAGATATATGCAGTATATTCATATGTCACATGCTGAATTAAAATCTCATTTTATCCTACCTAGACGTGGGTTTGGATTGTAACTATTTTATTTTTATGAAATATTTCTTAGAATCAAAATCAATAAAGGGTAACATTTTCAGAAAACCCAGTTCTAAAAAGCTTGAACGCTTCCAGGTCATCATTCTACATGCTTAAAATGCTGCTTAAAAACATAAATCAGATTCGGAAGTGTATTTTGAAGCCCTGCGTTTTATTTTTATTTTCTGTTTTTTATTTGATCTTGTGCCAGTTTATTCAACATTTTTAGCCTAGAATTTGTTTAAAACTATGTAGCTGAAAAAATTTACTTTGAACTATGCCAGTTGGTCAACTTGAATTAAAATAGTCAGTTTTTAGTAAGTAATAGCAAACCAATTTACTGAACTGTGCATTTTTGTGTTATATTTTTAAGACAGATTATTACAAGTCAAATTTATCAATGCTAAAATTTTCTGTTTAAAGAAAAGTTAATCAGTGGAGTAAATTTCTCTAGTAAAGGAAAATTGACTCCAATATGTAAACTTCAATTATTTATTTATTTGTTTGTTTATTTATTTATTTATTTATTTGCTTGGTCACTAAGGGATTTTGCTTTGCTGGAAAGTATATTGAGCAAAATCAAAAGTTGGACCAGTGACATTTACTTTATTGCTTTGTTTGGTACTGGGACATTATTTAACTTCAGCAGTTCTATTTAGAGTGTGAATCATTTTTTTTCAAAAAATTAATTTAGTCACTGAACTATAATGATACTGAGGTAAGCAGAAAATATTTTTCACATTTCAGCTGAAGAAGAAAAGATAGGTGTCTTTTTATTCTTAACCTTCAAAAAGGACTTGCTGGATGAAGATTTCATTGAAAGAAAATCAGTCTTTATGCTTTGTTCTCAAAGACCTCTACTGTAATTAGGTTTACTGTACAAGTGATATTTTGAGGTGATGGTGAGGAATGGAAGACCAAAGTCACAGAGACAGAGAATCTGTATTATGTAGATGATATTTCTAGATATATAAAGCATGTGTAATATTTTATACTGCTTGGACTAGGATGATTATCGGTCTTATATGAGTGTGCTAATTGCGCAGAAAATTGAGGCAGTGTGTTAACTTCCACTATTAAATAGGCAGCTGCACATGTGTGAAGCTTGCCAGGTTCTATAATCATGGCATCAAAGAATAACTGCAATTTTAATGTGGAATATTTTTGTTATTTCACTCTTGATTCCAATGTTGGAGTCTATCAATGCACTGTTGCATGTTACCCTGTGTCCTCAAAGGGTTTTAATTTGATGAACCCTAGATTTTTCTTTTTAATTACTCATTTTGTTTGTATTTGCAACTGACCTGTTAAGTTAACCTCTAGAATTCATACCCAAAGAAATACAACAATCCATCTTTGGATTACAGTAGTAAATACTCACAGTTTTGTCAGTCTGTGACTGGACTTTATTTATAATGACATTCCTAGCACAGGATGTCAAAATAGGCTCTATGTGGCACTGTACCTTGTGCCTTTGGCTGGAGTATGCACAAGAGTGATGCTTAGCAACTTCTGCATGCGATAGATGATAATTTATCATTATTGAGTCTGTATAAAAATCTTGGGGAAGAAGAGTAGTAGTTTTATAGAAATACTGGAGGTTTTTATCTGTAGTAAGAGTAGTTTTATATCTGGTAAGCCTTCACTGGATTTCTTTCAACACTTCATTCACTCAAATCATTAGGGAATTTAAACTTTTAAGTTTAAATTATAGTAAAATTTAAGGGTGTATGTACTGGAAATGGAAGAATATTTCTCTCAAAGGCATGGGCAGTGTACGTACAAGCAGGTATTATAATCCAGTCTAACATATCTGTCTTCATATTTGGGGAATCTGTTCACAGAGTTTACATATGACAATTTTGTCTTTTGACTGCCTTCCTGTACCTTTTTTATATAAGGCAAATCTGTCAGATTTACTGGACTGACAGCGTTCTCTTTCAAAGCTGTCTAGCAACAATTTACGTGTCTGCATCTTTTTAAAATGCATGATGGAGCTTTTATTGACTTTGTTTTAGAACTGTGACACCTTTGTTCAGTTCCCAGACATGTAAGCTCTGGTTTAGTGTCGTTATCACTAAGTGCCTCATAGAATTATAGCTGAAGAAAGTTGGGGATTTTGATCTTTTGGATTTTTTTGCTTTTCTGTTTGGGTTTTTATTTTTGAGAGATGAAAAGGTGTCAAGGCAGAACAGATTTGACTTGAGGAGTTTAATTCATTGCCAGGTAACATAAACATTTAATAACTTATTCAGAAACTGAGAAACAAAGAGAAACCTTTGAACACTTAGGTGTCTCTTGGAGGGACAATGGGTGATGCAGGAGACTGGGGTCTGTACATAGCATTCCTCAGGCAGGTGAACCAACTACGATGTTGTGAAAGAGCAAGTGTGCTTTGACTCTGCTTTTTTAAGCTGTAATGGAAAATACAGGTTTCATTTATGTCACCTGCAAGTACTACTCTATTCTGGGCTGGTTTGCATTGTCATGTTTGTATCTTTTTTTATTTTACTTTTAAAGTCACTAAGTGCAATTCTGTGAAGTTTAACTTTAAAAGGGCATATTTCAGATTTTTGCTCTATTTTCCAACTACTACTGTGTGACTGTAAGTAAGTAAGTAAGTAAGTAACATTTCCAAGTAATGGCCAGTCTTCGCGACGAAGATCCGGGGAAGGTCTTTACACCTTCCAGCCTGCGCATTGGATTTTTTAGGTGAGACACAGTGTGCGCGGAACTGAGCCCACCCTTTAATCCTAAGGTTCATCTGCCGGGGCCAAGCGAGCTTGGACGGTGGCAGCGAGGTCCTTAGGACGTAGGTGGGTTGCCTTTTTAAGGGCTAATGAGCTCCACCTGCCCGGGAGTGGCCCTGACCGGGAATCGAACCCGGGCCTCAGCAGTGACAGCGCCGCACCCTTACCACTAGACCACCAGGGGCTCCGGTGTGACTGTATTCTTACAGTACATATATATATATATCTCCCACATATTTTGTTGAAGTGAAGGATATGTAATTTATGTTTTAATTTGCTTTTAGAACTTGTAGAACTCATTACCTCTTCAGAAGGCAGTGCAAAAATAAATCTTGGAAAAGAATTTCATAAGATTGTACGTGTGCTCCTCATTTTATGGAGAAAGTAATTGAAACTTGAAAGAATAGCGTGGCTGTTGCAGACAGAAGAAAAAGTTTTGTGAGTTCCTGGCTCACAGACCTGTGCTTAATCACACATTTCATTTTCAGTTTTTTGGGCTAATTATCAGCAAGATGGGCCACACTTAGTTGTTATGATCCTTTAAAGAAATTAACTTTGAAAGAGTTACACAGATCATAGCAGAAAAAGATTGGCCATATGGGTGCTCATCCCAAATTTAATATCTGTGTATTAATAATTTCATAATACCTATTATTGATTCAGACATTTTTATATTTTGCAGATTATTGCTCAGTTGTAACACTTGTGGACCCATCAAATGCGAAGTTAACTTGCACTCTTTTTAATGGAAATCCAGATTCCCTACCAAAAATTTACAAAGTTGGAGATATTGTTCGATTTCATAGAATAAAGGTATGTACTAGAATGTTGGGGTTTTATGTGCTTGCTTTTCTTCAATGAGAAGACCATAGGAACAATTTATTTCTACATGTATCAAAATTAACACTTGGAGACATTGGATAAAGCAGCTGATTGATAAAACAGCTATGATTATGGTATGGACCGAAGCTGAAATTAAACTATGAATTTTTTTCAACAACACTTATTAAACTACTTGACAAAAGTCATGTGATGATACTTCTAGATGAACAGAGTTTAACTGACATAAATGTGCACAATTTATCCCTCTTCAAACTAATAGGATTTTATGAAGGAGTTTTAGGGCTTCTGTTGTGGAGCAGTTTAGGTCAGCTGGAGAGTCACTCCAGTAAAAGGAATCTTTCTGGCGTTGTTAGTGTGCAGAATGCTCGAGCTACTGCTGTGATCTTTTCCTGCCTTACACCCTGTTCATCTATATCGAAGGTCACGCAGGAAACAGTGTTTTTTAGCTTTGATACTGCTTCTACTGGATGTTTTTCTTACACCTGTTGCAACTGTATAAGGAAGAGGAACCACACTACAGGGACTGAATAGAAGTCTTGTAATGCTGGACCATACTTAAAGAGGTGCAGAACAGGACCAAAGACATGATTTTACCATGTTGCATATTACTTTGCAACATAACCATACATAACTATATATTTTCTTTTTATGTAAAATAATCGTAGCGGAAATGAATAAATGTCATGAAAGAGGCCAGTGGAAAAAAATAGTTTGCATATTTGAACACTCTTGAGACATCTAGGAAATTTAAGATTGTACAAAAGGATGATAAAAGGGATAAAGATCCTTAGTACTAAGCATGTACATTTTGATATGCTGTAGCAGGAGAACAAAGAAGAAAACCCCATGACAATAAATGTTAAAAGTGGTAAGATTTATCCAGTGTTTGAGTTTTGTACCACTGAGATTGTTAAGAAAGAACTTTTTAAGATTCAGAAACAGTCTTCTGCTATTCATGTATATTATAAATATTTACAATTGAGAGATAAGTTAGTTAGCCTATTTTGGGTTAGGATAAAGCTTCCTTAAGGTCATCTGTATATAATTAGAGTGGAATGAGACTGTATTTAGATTTTGAAGCCTTTGTTTGTTAATCACTACTTGAGCTGTGTTGTTGGTCTTGAGAGTTCGTTAATTTAACTTTGGATTGGAATGTCTTATGCTAAATTTTCATATTTTCTCTGAATCCATCAGGGTGAGTGTTAGATAGAAATACTCCTTTTTGAAATTCAGTGGAGATAAAAGCTTTTTTATTGCTTCTGAAAACAAAGTACATATTTTTATAATACGTAAGTGAAAAATGAGAAAGTAGAGAGAAGTCTGGTCAAAATAAAAGAATTGAAAAGTTGCAGGTGTATGGTAGGTTAATATTGGATTTTTTTTTTGAGATGTGGAAAGTACACACTAAAAAACAAAACAAGACCCCTGTCGGGGAAGTTATGTGTGCTCTCTCTTTTATGCAAACATAATATTGTCTCAGTTCTAGTATTTATTTTTGTTACAAACTTACTTAGAAAACCTGATGATATAACATATGTAAGGAACCTCACCATTCTTCTAATTTGGCATCAGTTTTTTGAGGAGAACCTTTGACCAAATACCACCATACCCAGTGCAGCGTCCTAGATATTTAGAGAAACGGCAGGAAAAACAAATTCCTTACGTGCAATCAATTACATATTCATCTGATTCAAACTCGTTAGATCTACAATATAAATGCATTGCCTCTTTGAGCAAAAGGATTTCATAACCATGACATAGATGTTTATTCCTTCCAAAGGTCAGCAGATTGACAAGTGTAAGATATATGTTTTGCTAGAGAGTTTTGAAGCTGTTTGTCTGTCCACAGAGAAGTGGGAATCTGAATATCAAATATATGGAGCATGGCTTCATGACAATGTAGAAGTATCACACTACCTTTTTTGTTATCCTTTCTATTTCTATTCTGTCTCTTTTCTTGTGCATCACTCTCCTAAACCTCATAATACTTAACATAGATTCGTTCCACTATATTACTTACTTTGATCTTTGAGCTAGTCTGTTGGTATTTCCAGGAGCAATCTTACTTCTGTACTCTACTAGCACTTTTCTTTGTCTTTGTGTATTTGCTCCTTTATTTTAATCCAATTTGTCTGATTAAAGTTGATTTCTTTTCCTTCTTTTTATTTGGTACAATGTAGAAGGCACTGAGAGAAAGACTCAGCATTTGTGTCTTTGCTCATTTCTTATTCCTGGGCAACTCTAGCCATAGCTGTCAGATTGATAAGGATCAGAGGTGAAAGTCTGAAGCTTAGATATATAACATACTGAATGTATTAAATTTAATAATTTAAATAATTTAATAAATTAAACTTTGGTAGAATTTAGCTCTGAGACTCTTAGTGTCTTCTATAAACTTGGCTAAAGTTAAGTTTGAGACTTTCTACTAAAAAGGATGTCAAAAAACATGTTGTGTGTTGCACTGCAACACCTGTTTTCAAATTCTTGCTCTGAAGAGTGGAGGAAATTTAATTTCTTTTTACTAAAGAGTAAATCAGAAACCAACATTTTTCTCAGAAATACCAGAATTACTATTGCTTTTGACTTCCCTTCAAAAATTCTGTAAGGCATGAAACTCATTTTGAATGGAATTTAAATTAAAACTAAATATTTGTCCTATAATAAGTAATGTCAGGAAATACTAACTGTAGGCAGTGATAGTTTCTCTGTAATTTGAAGTATTAAAAATTTGCACATATGTTTTCTGAAATTGTCATCTCAGTACTTTTGGTCAAGTTACCTGATTGTATTTTAAATATGTAGAAAATATTCCATAATAGTAATTTTTTAGTTTATTAGAATTTTCTTAAATATACTATGCCACTTTCTTTGAGGAGTATTTCTAAAACAGTATCACAATGCCTGCTGTTTTCTAAAATTATTATCAAAATAGTAATTAGTTCAGTTGGCTTAAATATATAAACTTTTTGCATACAATGTTTTTCCACAAAATAGTTGTATGATCAGGTGAATTGAATTGGTAAATGAAATCTACAATATTTTGGTCATTTTCTTCTTTAATTTGTATTTCCATTGCTGCAGATGTTTCTGGTAATCTTATTTTGTAGACAGCAATTCTTAGGAATGCTAGAGAATAAGCTATAATTTGTGGTCCTAGTATCTAGGTATGTTTATCATGTCTTCATAAAAATTCATTTTATTTCCATCCTTATTAGCTTCCTTTTGCAAGGTGCCTGAAGAGAGTTTTTGTAGTTCAGTTTTCTTCTTTTCGTATTTAAACATGTTCAGAATGGTTTAATTTATACTTCAAATGGCTTCTCTGTTTCATTATTACCTCTCTGTTCATATAGCTGGAGGTACAAATACACCAGGATTACATTATTAAAATATAAGAAAATGTAATCAGTATATTGTATCATGCAAACCTGTTTAGACTATTTACTTAAGATGAGAAAACATTTACAAAAAAAAAGCAAAAATATACTAAATGCATTTTGGTGAGGTTTTTTTGACAGGAAACTTTTTTGTCATACAAACATCAGTGACAATCATTAAAAAAATAAATCTTCCTTTGTAGTATAAAAACATATACATTAGCTTAGTATGTGGTGTTTTTTGATATTCTGAGATGATCTGTGACTGCAGTGGTTTCATAATGGTCCTTTGCTTCTACAATTTAACAATTTTGATGGAAAACTACCTTGGAGATGCTATTATTCCAGCTTTATACATATTTACTATCACACATTTCTGTTTAGTGAGATGAATAACATCAGCTTCAGTTAAAAAAATAACCAGGTATTTTAGGTTGCTGTAAATCTATTTATAAATATTTCAAGATTAGCTTCTTTTCAATAACCATATTCAAGATAGTGTTGTACACCATAGAAATCACTAGAGTTTATTGTCTGTACAGTTTGTTAAGGTGACATTTCACCTACTGTTCTTCAGTTTACAGAAAGACTCCTGCCAAAGACTCCTCCCAAAGACTCCTGCAATATGTATTGGAATTTACTTGTTTGCTTAGAACAAGTCAAATAAATTTTATCTGCTCCATTTTTGTCCCAGAGGACATTTTTATTTAGCAACCATTATTTATTAAAAATATTTAAAATTCTTAGGGAATTTTTAAAGTGATAGCCATCTACCCCACTTCCCCATTTTTTCAACACACACACTCCCCCCAACAATTTTAAAAAAAATATCCCCAAGGCCTCTAGAAATGACACAAAATCTAGTGAGGGGGAATTGTTGTCATATACAAAAGTCCCAGGTTGGCTCTTTTCCCTAAGTTTAATTCAATTTCAAAATCTTTTTTGTGGAAAATATAACACATTTACATTACATGATCTGAGATCTGCTTAAGAATGCCATAATGGAGTAACATTTTCCCATGGATTTTACTCATTTTGTACTCCAGTGATCCTTCATCACTTTAGCAATGATTTAGTTTTAAAGAACAAGTCTGGAGAATTTCTGTTGACCATCATCTGTTCTGTGGGTCTGACATAAGTAATTTTCCAGCTATGAAATACTTTTTTCTGTAACCCATTCTACAGTTGCTTCTCCTGTTTCTTCTGTTGGTCACTAAATAATATTGTTGAATTCTGTTTATGTTTGAGAGCACTCAGTGGTTTCTCTACCTTCATGTGCCTAAAGACATGTGGTTTGCGTTCAAGATCATTGTTAATATTCTCATCATGACGGTTGAGGTTTACCTTCTTATATATATATTTTTTTTTGTTATTTTATAATTGCCTTTCCCTACATAAAGGCTGATTTTAAATTCACTAAATGAGGGTACTGGGAGATGTCAGAAGTACAGTATATTTGAAGACAACCTCCTGCGTGATCAAAACATGACATAAAGGATTTGGGAAAGAACTAACATAGCTTATGGTGAAATATTAGTGGAAACCCAGGGAGACAAAGTAGTTTCTTGAACTGATTTCCTGAGAGGTTTGGAGCCTTCCCAGAGGACTAGGACAGAATTTTTAGTAAGAAAGAAGTGAAGATATTTTTATGATGATTTAAAACAATGAGTGAAGAAATAGATGAGTAGGTATATTGGAAACTAAAATACTTTGAGAAAAATTTGACATGCCAGATAAGATACTAAAAATAATCTTGAAGTGTATTTTGATAGTGGATGAATGAGTAAATGTGGTGAAAGAGTCTTCCTTCCCTCTGGATGTTACCTGTTTAGAGAAGCTGTTGGATATAATGCCAGTGGCAGCAACTAAAGTAAATCTGTGTGTTTATATTAGATAACATCTTACAGTGGAATGTTTTTTCCAGGCTGTGGGTAATGAGGCACAAATTGATTATGAAACTATGTATTTTCCTGATTGGTCTGTTGGCTTTTCATGTATTTTTGATATTTAAATATAAAGGTTAAAAGATTAAAGCTTTCCAGTGTTTCACTGAAGGAAAACTACACTGTGAATTGATGTGCTCCATTGGTCAGGTCTGGAGAATGCTTAAGTAAATCAAAGTTTATCTTAGAGAAGACCTTTAATGTATTTATGCACTATGTGAAAGTAGCAGGGATTAAGGGAGTTCCTGTCACGAAGATTGAATTGCTTTATTTATGAATTTCCAAGGTCAATGAATACTTGATGTGTGTGCTTTTTAAATTTCAGTGTGTTTATAAAACATAGGCCTAAGTAATTGGTGATGTTTTGCTAGAAAATGTTGCTATTTAGAACTTCTGACACACATTTCACATTCTGCACTTTCAAATCAGTAGGATTTTCAACCATTTGAAAATTGAGCACTGGGAATCCTATACTAGATTGTCTCATAAATGCTATATTCATAAGTATTCATACTTATTTGGTAAGCAAACCCAAATTAAAAATGGATGAATTCAAACAGTTTGATATTTCTAGGTAATGAGTCATACAGTGCTTTGATATAGAGATACAGAGATATAGATAGATAGATAGATATATAAAGTGCAGAGAGCAGTAAGACTAGTTTAGATCCTTGAAGGAATGCTTCAGACTTTACACATTGTGTTTTACGTGGTAGCAGATACACAGCTAAATCAGCAGGATTCAGGGGAGCTACCATGTTCAGGGCAGTAGACATTGAGTAATTGTGAAAGCTCTATTCATAATTCAAGGAATGAAAGCTGGTCACTGTTTACTTTCTAGAAAAAAATACCTCCTAGAACTGACATTTTCTGTTGCAGTTCTGTAGTATTGGAAAACAGGGCTGTTGTGAGAGGCAGAAAACAGGAATCCATAACTTTCCTCTACCATTGCTCTACTGTGTAAAAATTAATTTCTCTTGTGCCTCAGTCTCCCCATTTGTAAAAGCAACCCTGATATCTTCCCCCCCACAATTCCTGATGTCTTCTTATTGACGTGTGTGAATAAAATACTCTGTTTGATGCTGTATATTTACAGGTAGGTGTTAGTCTGCCTCTTCAAAATTTTGTTGTGTAAGGTTATATTTTCTGCCTGCTTACTTTATTTTCTTAAGTTAATGTAACTTTTGTTGTTGTTGTTGTTGGGTTTTTTTGGTTTTTTTTTTGTTTCTTTGTTTGTTTGTTTTTAATTCTGTTCTTCCCATAGCACCAGAAACAAAAATGGTGTATGGTTCATTCTTTATGCACATGATAAAGCAGAAATGTATTTTTATTTCCATGCAGTGCAAACTATTTTTTTTCATTCATATTTCATAACAGATCAGGGAATTCAATGGACAAATGCAGGGAATTACCAGTGGGGGATTTGCATCCTTGACATTTGATGGAACTGTAGGAGCGCCTCTAGTTCCTCGAACTTCTAGCAAAATGTACACTTTCATGGATGAAGAACATAAAAGAATAGAAGAACTACGTGTTTGGGCAGCCAGTAATATTTCCATCTCTGGACCAGCAGCAAAACTGTCTAGTGTTCAGCCAATGCTGTTCTTTGATCTCACTTGCCAGCTGGTAGGAAAAGCACAAGTGGATGGATCTTCTTTTCTTCTAAAGGTAGACTTATTTTTTTAAAATAATTTGTTAGATTTATGTATTCAGATGTTGTGATACATTTTTCAATAAGGCAGACATATTTTATACCCTGAGGTTGACTCACTTGGTTAGAGCACAGTGCTAATAACATTAAAGTTGTGGGTTCGATGCCCGTACGGACCATTCATTTAAGATGATCCTTGTAGGTCCCTTCCAACTCAAAATGTTCTGTGAAATAATGTTATGTAGATAAATGTTTTGACTGTAAGCAAATTTGTAATCCTGGGCCATTTTAGTTCTATGAAAACAAAACAGAAATCACAGGACTCTCTGAAGTTGTTCACCTGATTTGTTTTTTAGGAGAGGTTTAGTAAGGCATTGTATGGAGCATCGTTTCACATTTGTAGATAAATATTGCAAGATTTCTTAACCTTGAAAAATGTTTGTTTTAAACTTCATCCTTGTTTTTCAGTTAGCTTTTACTGCTTGTTTTTCTGAGTCTGCTGGGTATGATTAGTGCAGTAAGTAGCACTATCTAAGAAAGGAATGAATGTGTTAGGTTATCTGTCATGATGGATTCTAGGTAGTTTCTCTTAGTTATACGTAAGCACTTTGGGCATCAGTGCTCACTGAAAATACAAAGTGCCTAGTGCTACACAACAGGATAGTAATATCCAAGGGTGATCGTTAACATTAACTAAATAAAAGCGATGTCTCCATAATATTCCTGGGTTTAGTTCCAGATGTATCTGTCTGAAGTTATTCTGAAACTCCTCTGCTTTATTTTTCTTTATTTTTTAAGTTGATTGTTAAAATGTGAGTGATGATCAACCTGAACCTGTTATTTTCCACTTTATGACTTCATAAAATTACTTATTGGTTCTAATGTGTTAAACTGTATTGTTACAATATTTTTGGAAATAGCACATGAATTTAATGAATTCCTTCATTAAAGCAGCAAAGATTTTTCTCACACAGAAACAAATCTTAAGTGTATGCTATAACATGCTCTGCAACTGTTACAAGCATTTCCATTTAATAATCCTTTGTGAAAGACATGTCAAATGAGACCCAGTAAAATTTCAGAACTTTGTGGTCTGTAATTAAGTTGTTAATTAATAAGTATATCTGCAACATTGAAGGACCCTTTGCAATGATAGAAACAAGGACTTTCTTAAATTATTAATATTTCTTTACACACTTCTCTGTGTTGTAAGATTCAAATTTTGTCACTTTTATGCAGTAAAGGTAATGACTTGGGGCAATCTTAGGGTAGACTTAGGACAGTAAAAGTTTGAAGTCAAATAATGATAGATGAATTTTTCTGATATGTAATTCCTTTGACAGCATATATTTTTAGCATTATAAAATATTAAATACTTAAATCCATAATAAAATACAGCAGACAAGCTTAAAAATGCTACATTAATATTAGCATGCTGTTGGTAATTTCCTCCATTTTTCAACAATGGCAAAATCCATATCTTGTGTCAAATATTGACCATGATAGAAGAGAACCCATTCTAAAAACTTTTAGACAGATCTCTAATTATTTTGTTGTTTTGTTAAACAAAAAAATTCAAACAAAACAACCAAGCCAATGCCAACTCAAATGGAGTGATCATTAAATACTATTTTATTGTATTCTTTTGGTTATGCATTTTATAATAATGTTTTACATTTATCATGTTATTCCAAGTATATCAGTGATTACGGCTGATTACAGTATGAAATATCATGATTATTTTAAGCATTGAGCCCAGGTAGTGAGTGGGGACGGCTTCAAAGACAACTAAAATGAATTTCAGCAATTTTGTGCATCATCTATAGCATAACATTTAAGTTACACTTGGTAAATTAATTGCTATATGCACAACAGCTGAGTTGGATGTGGCATAAAGATGATATTGCTGACTTGATTATTTATTACCATTTTCTGAGAATTTTCTTATTCAAACTGATGGAGACTAAAGAATTCACGCTAGAAATTATTCTGTCATTTATGCCTTTCATAAGAGTTTTACTGTTATTCTTTTCTTCCCTTCTGTCTGTCAGTTTAATTTTGTACATTAAGTCATACAATGAGCATATTCTGTTGAAGAGAAAAATAGGTATCATTGGGTCTCTTTCATTCAGTGTTTTGCCAACCATGGTGATCAAACATTATCATTAACTTAGCTCCGGGCTGTTCATGACTAGTAAGAGAATGATTTGTTGTTTCTTATCCAGAATTAATTTAACCAGTGTTGGGTTTTCATCCAGTGTTTATTTTTGAAACCAGGTCAGTTTGAAAACAGGATGTTTCATGTTTTCATCCATAATTTGAGTAAAGCAAAGCTCTCCTGAAGTAGAGAGAACTTGGTCTGTTTCTGTATTTGTGCAAGAAAAAAAACACAACCAACTACTTCTGCAAAGTTGGGTTTTTTTCTTGTAGAGAAAGCTTACATTATCATAAATTCCTCCAAAAGGTGCTGATACTGACCTCATTAGTTCCTCTGGTGAAGGACGTTTCAAAACTAAGTCACCATCCCTTTATCTGAAAAGGGAGCGTACAGGTTATTTCAATCGTCAGATCCATCTCTCCAGTGTAGAATTAAATTAACAAACTGTCACAAGTAAAACCAGTTGAAATAATAGTGGAAAACTTGATGAATTTAAGGTTCGTTATTTTGTCAAAGGGACTAAATTCGTAACAGATATGCACTAAATCTGTTTCTAAGCTCAGTTCTGGAAAAGATTTGATAATTCAAGCACTAGGTAACCTCTCTTTCAAAGGCGGTTTCAAGTATTTCATGGTGCAGGATCAGAAGATTATAGGCTATTTTTAATCTGTGGCAGCATATACCATCTCATTATCTGGTCCTTCAGAATACACTCTTGCTTGGCAACATTAATTTGATGTTATGGGTCATTTTCACTGTCAGCAGGGAAATTCCCTTTTTTCTCTTGATTTTGGATGGGTATTCCAGCCATGAGTTACTGCCTGTGTATTTATGCATAGCTTTGCTGATTCTTAGATCTTTTCCTGTTGGTCTGTTGATCCAAAGCAGTTAAGCATAAGGTGTAGAAACCCTTTAAAAATTAAGCTTTGGTGTCTTTTTTTCTTTCCATCTGCAGTACCTAACTCATGGGACAAAGTACCTTATTATCACAAACTCTGAAAATTAACTTCTGTTGAACCAATATGCATGACATCCTATGAAATGCAGCATTTCAAAAGAAGGGTCCAAATGCTTCTAGATTTTTGTTTTGCTATACTAGTATTTCAGACCATTATTCTTGTTGTCTTTGTGAAGAGTATATCTTCAGAAACTCAGGAAACCATAGTTAACAGAATGATATTTGGTTTAAGTAGAAAAATTTTGATTCCAAAGTACTAAGCCTGTTGGTAAACTTACTTTTTCACAGTAACTTTACTAGCTCAGAAATAATTCTATTGGTATTTCAGTACAAGGAGTATATTAAAGGTTTAGTGTTAGGCAAACGATTTTTAGAACCTTTGTTAATAGGTGTATGTTAAGTACTGATGTTTTTCGAATATACTCTAGATAACTAGCAGTGTATCCTGATATAGGAGATCATCAGTAATTAAGTCAATATGTACTGTGTACTCAGTCTTCAAATACTGTAGCTGAAGTGGTTAAAAAGCCCCTATATCAGGATCAAAATATTAAGTATAGACAGTTGTGCATATGATGAATTCTGATGGTTGTAACTACTGGATAAACAGTTGATGGTTTGCTAGAGCTGATTTTTTTGTTGTTTTTTAGTATTAACAGGTTCTAGGTCTTAGCACATGATCATATTCTCGATAGAGGTTATTTTATGCTCTGTAAGGAATAATAATTTTAAAAATCCCATAAGGTCTAATTTAAGTATTTTAAGGACTTTTAGACTAAGACTGCAATTGGGATTTCTTATTGTTACTGATTTTTAATCAAACAAAAAATTTAAAAAAAAATATTTAAAATCTGAGTCTAAAGTATTCTGAGCATATTGAAGTAGTTCATTTACGTTGCAGGTATGGGATGGTACAAAATGTCCCTATCCAACATGGAGAGTACCTGTGGAAGCAAAAGACATGGAAGGAGAAAAGGCTCTTCTTCATCAGCTGAGAAATCTCACGGTGGACATTCTAGTCTATGATAACCATGTACAACTGGCAAAATCGCTTAAGGTAATGCACAGTTTGGTATTTCTAACTCTCTTTTCGTGGCCTATGTTCTGCTTAGAAGTCACTTCAGAGAATGTATTAATTCAATTCTGCTGTAATTAGTTTCATGTTCCTCTTTATCTTTCACTGTATTTCCTGTACCTTTTATTTGAATGCAAAACTCCTTCAACATGTGTTAAACAGCCTCATTACCCGAAAATTACCATGAAAAAAATTCTTTCAATTAAGCTGTTCTTTCCAGACATTGTAATATACTATATAATCCTGTGAAAATAATGAACTCAGAAAATGTATTCTGTACTTTAGAATTATTTTTAAATGATATAAAATGGGGTTAAACTCGTAGACCCATTTAAGACTCTTAATTCTAATGTCAATAGAAGATTTTCAGTTCTATAAACTTCTGCAGTTTGCAGTGCAATCTTCATTTAGTGGATCAGTAGTGTTGATTATGCTTAGATAGAGAAAACAACGTAATTAAACATTTGATCTTAGCAATACTGCCATCTTGCTTCTGAATACAGGAAATCAGCAAAGAATACATCTTTCATTTCATGCCTTGCCCTCTATGTCCAAGATCATTTTTAAGAAAACATTAACTAGAAAATAAAGATAAGTAATAACCATTTGTTAGCCCAGGCTATTGGCAGACATAAAATCAATTAGATAAATTAACATCCATTCATAAGTAAATGACAGATAGCAAAATAAGTGTAAGGATTTGTGTAAGAATTCATAACAAAACTGACAGAAATATTTCATGACTTCCAAGTTCTCTTCCAGAGTTTTTCACTTGCTAACTGGTGTAATCTGTTGATAAATAACTGATGTTCCAATGAAGCATTGTTTTGAAAATTAAGGGCAAAATATTTTAATGTTAATAAAACATAATTTCTTGAGTAGTTAATAATACTTCTTTTATTGCTCTCCCGCATTTATGTTCAGGAATCCCTATTGAATATGTGATACATGGGATGTCTTCATCAACTCTCTCAATTTTTTACTTCCTCTAAGTTTGCCCTTTCTTATTTCTAAAGCATTTGTACCTTTGCTGGATACTGCACTGTGTAGTAGAAGCTCTAATTTCATAGGAAATTGTTAAAAACCTCCTTTGACCTTCTGAGCAGTACAGGCTATTTTTCTCCTGGCTATGTCCAAAGTTGCAGTAGTTTCAGTCATGAAAGCTGTAGAAGTTTCAAGTTAGATTGTTTTTGAACACCACTATTTAGTGGATTGTCTTAGTGAAGTAATCTAAGAAAAGGGGCTGATATGCTAACAGTTAACTTCAGAAGTATTTATTAATTTCAGGTTGCAATATGTAGAATTAATTTTATTTCACAGAATAATATAAATATAATTAAATCTGGGGGGAACTGTCCCTAAAATGGAGGGGTTTTAAATACTAGTGGAAATCATGTCCTATCATAAGAAAGTAAAGTGAAATCTGTATAATATTTTTTTTGGTTCAGGGTCTTGTTTTGCAAAGGTGTTTTTTTAAATTCATCTGTGTAGAAGTATGGAACTGGAGAGTGTTTAGTGTATCCATGTACACCTTCCCAAGTGTGGTTAGATGTTTTGCCAGCTTATGGTTGCAGAAACAGTAAAAGTATGCTAGTTTTCAGCCTTGTCTTCTGCATTTGACAGTAGCTTAGAATTGCCTTTTTTATGTAAATTGTTATGGAATTGTTAGGTTACATTCTCCCTTGTTGTGTATTGTTTGCAGTGACAGTTGCAGCTCAGAAATGACATTTTATGTAGGAGCAATCTGTTTTACACAGCCTTGTTAACACAAAGAGCAGATTGAAAAAAAAACTGAAATATTTTAAAATTGTATCTGTAGGCACATGTTCAGACACGGAAGCTCTGAGTAAGCAGTACACACTAGAGAAAGTGGGTAATGTATTATAGTGAATTTTTGGCAAATGCTGGAGCACAGAGTAAGGGATATTGCTGCAAGAGTTTGTTAAAAACTCCTTGTTTAGGTCATCTGTCCAGAGAACACTGAAGATTTGAGCATTTTATCCCATTTTCTAAGACAACCAAATAATATTTAAAATTTTCAATGGAGAGAACTTTAGTAACACTGAAGACATGTTGCTGTTGATACCATAAGTAGACTTTTTGTTCCCTGTATTTACTGGTCTCCCTTTCCTGCTGCGTAAGATTGTGGCTTTTCAGCATTTGGTGCTTTGACAGAACACAAAAAGAATTTTTAGAAATCTCATCTCTGAAGTGAATTATTTCCTGGGGCATAAAGACACAAGCAAGAACTACAACTAAGCAAAGAAAATGGTGTTCACTGCTTTTGCTTGAAATTGCCTCTTCCTCTGGCTACCTGGGGTGCGTGAGGCTTTCTCATTACTCTAGGAACCCCAACCTACAACTGTCTGGAATACAGTTGCTCCCCATAGGTTGCAGTTTGTTATTCTTCAGCCTTTCTTATGCCAATTTTTCCGAAAGTTCTCAGGATTCACTGACACTGCCGTAGGATTTGGGAAATAGGTCTGTGATGTTTCCCCATCTTAAGCATTTTGCTTAGATTGTAGGCATCGAGGTGAGAGAGCATCAGTGGTCAGTCAATGCACAGTAGGGGTCCAGCTGTCCACAGCTGGTTAGAGGTTTCCTTATATTCTGTCATTCACTGAATATATGGTACTGTGCCTTCCTGTGTTGCCATGCATTTTCTGGATAGTACAATTAAAACAATTAACCTTGAGCATAGATACAAGTCCTAGTCTGTAGTTTCACAGCATTTGTTTTGTGTCACATATCTTCAGATGTAGAATTTGTATATTTTCAGCTGTTTCTCCCACCATGTAAAATGTCATCTCTTTTTTGACAGTAGTATGGACCAAGAAGTCTTGCTTTTTTAGTGCCAGAGTCACATTTTCAACCTGAAACTTCAATGAGTTACTTACATGGTTGTAATATCTAGCTTCATATTTTTCAGACCTAGGTAGCATTCCTTTGACCTGTCAGTGGTATTCTCCACACCTCTGTCTTTTTACTTATTAAAAGGGGAAAAAACAAAAGACGACACCCTCTAATCCCAGCTCTGGGTCTTTCAAACTCTTAGCATGGATTTCGGTTGGTATTTCTTACTGCAAAGGACTGTGCCCAAATGCTGTGTATATACTTCCTCTCATTTTCAAGGAGCTGTGCACCATTTACTCAGTAAAATTAGACTGCTGATATGATAAAAAGGATAACAAAGAAATCTCATTTAATATAATCAGCCATAAAAATAGGTATAAAAATTACTACAGAGGAATTTGTTAAGTGATTCCTGTAGATAAAGACAGGTTCTTGTCATGACTGCCTTTTTGGTCCAACATGAACATTTACCTGCCATGATAAATGGCTGTTCTGAATTCATCAGTGTGAATGTCAACACAACCCTATAAGTTTTGAAATAATGATGAGAATTTCCTATGCTAGAGTTGTATTAGTTCACTGGTTATAGGGAACTGCATATGTGACTTCTGCATTTTAATTCTCTCTAGCCTTAATATGTATTTTTTTTAATAGTCATATTTGAATTAGACTGCAAATAGGGTATTAGTATATTTTATACTACTGCAAAAAATTTTTTTATTCTACTTTAATTCATTTTAAATGAACTTGCTTTAAATGAAAAAGGTAGTTCATAAACAGAACTGCTGTAAAGTCAAGTAAGGAGCTGGGTTTGTACTATATTTTAGTGATGGTTATGTAAATCATGTAGATTATAATTTCTTCTCAGTCAAGTATATAAAGTGCTCAGTCTGCAGGCATTCTGTAAACAACAGAAACCCAGTAACGTTTTTATCCATAACAATCTGCTCACTGCTGTTAACTGTAAGCAAGGCTGCCGCCCAAAGGAATCCATGGAAATGGCACCCTGTTTGCACAGGCAGCTCTGGGTTGACATTTAGAACTCTACGGATTTTTTCAGTATTTACCAATGCTGATTATAATGCTTCTCTTTATTATGGTTCTAAATGATATTAAAATACATAAAATAATAACAGTCAGAAAAGAATCGAATAAATGCATATATAGAAAGAATAATTTATAGTGATGACAAATCTTGCAACATGAATGTTGCACTGAAATGTGTAGTTCAGTTGACTTTTGCATGAGTTTCAGCACACAAGTTTAGAAGGCAGACCCAGCATTTTGTATTTTTGGCTTCTGAGCTATCATCTCCCATGTTTAATTTTTTATATTTATACATAGATAAAATACTTTTTTCATATGTTCTTTTTAAAAGAAAAAAATCTGTTAATACTGAACTTTTTCCTGTTTATATGCAAATTGGTTGGGGGGTAGGAAGTAGTTTGACACTGTTTTATTAACTTAAAGTTATTTCATAAGCAGAAATTAGTTTGTCTTTTCTTTAAAATTTCTTAACTTTCTCCCAAGGCATTTGTCACAATCATTAGATTACTTTTATAATATGAGTACCCCTTGTATTTTTGGATATTCAACATAATTAAGTGGAAAGGAAAAAAAAAAACAAACTTCTGGGTAAGCCTCTTAACTGCCATCTAAATGCACAAACTGTGCTGGTGATGCTTTGAATGAACAAAATGAGCAGCCCCCTGACAACACAGATCAATTAAAACTCTGATAAGAGCTCCATGCCAGAAGCAAAATAGGTGCAGGCTGAAGTGCAGTTTTTATGTCCCTGCTGCCCAAATTGAAAAATACACTACCTTTTTCATGTGTGATTATTATTTAAAAGTAGTTTGATACCAGCATTATGTAGTCACAGTTTTTTCCTTGATACAGAGGAGGATTCTAGACATAGGTTGCTGCTCCATCTGCTTTTATGCATGTATACATACATTTGTAAGTATTGTACTAAGACCTGACCAATCCAATCTAGGTTTCCACTGGTTAAAATTAAAACTGAAATAAAACTTAACAGACTTGAGTGCTGTAATATTAATTTTAATTGAAGTAAATTTTAAAATAATTTCTCATTTATATAGGGTTATTTAAAAAATACTTAGAATTAATATAGATCCAGGTTGTTGAATGTGTGTAGCTTACCAGCTATCAAGTGGATCTTAGGTTACATATTTTAAAAAAATATTTTAGCAACTCTGTAGTTAAGTCTCCGGATTATGAGCCTTGGGTTTGGTTTTATTTTTTTGGTTGAATGTGCAGTTTTTTTGAGGGGGGATAATGGGTGTGGTATTTTGAAATAAAAGCAGAGTTATAAAAATGTGTTCAATATTCAGCACTCCATAGCTTCTTTTTTTAATAGGTACTTGTATAAGTTAGCATAATTCCATTTTTTTAACTTAACAAAACTGTTTCAGAAAACACAAAATAATTTTAAGCAAAACAAGAAGCATATTCTCCATGTACCTGAGGAAGAAGATCTAACAGAGTTAGGAAGAGTGCCAAAATCTTTCAATTTCTAATATGTGTTGCCTTTTCTCCTGTTCCTAAAAATATGTTATGTGTAATGTAAGCGTAAGATGGGACAAAGAAATCTGAGTAAGCAGATGTGTTTGTACGTACACCTGAAGAGATAAGAAACCATGTGCGATGATGGACATGAGGGCAATTGCTGAATGTGGCCATACATGGACAAATCACAGGATGTCAGTCTCTAGAGGACTGTGTTCTGAAAATAGAAGGGAAATTGAGCCCTCAGGAGAGAAATGTATAGATTCATTTGATCTGTCTTCTGAACTGTGTTTGAGAATTCGATTTATTAAAAAGGCTTATGCTGGTTCTGAATCATCCTTTGCTGTCAGTAATGTTGTCTGATAAAGCAAAACAAACAGATCACTCAGGGAGGTTTTGCACTATCCACATTTGAAAATATCCAAAACCCAACTGGAGACAATCCTAAGAAACCTGCTCTAGTTGACTCTGCTCTGGGCGCAGGGGTTGAATGAGGCAATGTCCAGAGGTCCCTGACAACTTATGTGATTGAGTTCAAATGGGGAAGAAGCTTTATGAGGCCTGGAAGTCTAGAATTTTCCACATAAACAGCTGGCTTTGTGCTATCTAAATTGTTGGGGTTTTTTTTTTCAGATTGGAAGTTTTCTGAGAATTTACAGCATTCATGCGAAACAAGCAAGTGCTGACAATGAAGATTTCTCGCATATAGAATTTCATCTTCATGGTGGGACCTGTTACGGTCGAGGAATAGGAGTCTTACCAGAAAATAACCCCGATGTTAAGGAACTAAAAGCGTAAGTTTTATATGTAGGTGTTTTGGGGTTTTTTTTTCCCTAGGTGATTCTTGAAAACTCTAGACCAATGTAACAACTGTACAGTTTAGAGTTGCAAACATATCTAAGAATCAGAAACTCTGGAACAGAATGTGTCTTTAGCACCACTAAGATGAAGAGTGTTTGGAGCAATAGGTAAATAAAAGCTATTTTTTCAAATTTTGAATGTAGTAGCGATCAAGATTCCTATTTTATAATGCTGTAATAATAAATCCTGGCCATATTAACATACTTAGTGTATATTATGGAGGCATATAATCTTTTGAAGACAAAAGCCTTGTTTCAGCAAATAAATTAAGCACATTTTAAGCATGTACATATGTGTTAATTGAAAGTGGTGAGATTTAAAGATATTCAAAATGAAACAGATAATTTACATGCTTTACTGAACTGTGTTATATTCATAAGGAATCATAGAATCATTTAGATTAGAAAGGACCTTTAAGATCACTGAGTCCAGATGTAAACCTTGTCCAAGTCCATCTCTAAACCATATCTCTAAATACCACATCTACACATCTTCTAAACACCTCCAGAGATGATGACTCCATCATTTCCCTGGGCAGCCTGTTCCAGTGCTTGACAACCCTTTCCATGAAGAAATTTTTCTTAATATCTAAACCTCCCCTGGCACAGAGTGAAGCCATTTCCTCTCGTCCTATCACTAGTTTCCTGAGAGAAGAGGCAAACCCCCACCTTGTTACAACCTCCTTTCATGTAGCTGTAGAGAACAGTACAGCTCTCTACAACCTTCAGCCTTCTTTTCTCCAGGCTGAACAACCCCGGCTGCCTCAGCTGCTCCTCATGTGACTTACTCTCTAGACCCTTCACCAGCTTTGTTCCCCTTCTCTGGACTCACTCCAGCACCTCAGTGTCTTTCTTGAAATGAGGACCCCAGAAACGAACACAGGATTTGAGGTGTGGCCTCACCAGTGCCAAGTACAGGGCGACAATCACTCAATCACTGCACTGGTCCTGCTGGCCACACTATTTCTGATACAGACCAGAATGCCATAGACCTTCTTAGCTGCCTGGGCACACTGCTGGCTCATGGTCAGCCCACTGTCGACCAGCACCCCCAGATCCTTTTCTGCTGGGCCACTTTCCAACCACTCTGCCCCAAGCCTGTAGCTCTGCATGAGGTTGTTGTGACCCAAGTGCAAGACTCAACACTTCACCTTGAACCTCATACAATTGGCGTCAGCCCATCAATCCAGCTTCTCCAGATCCCTCCGTAGAGCCTTCCTGCCCTTCTGCAGATCAACACTCTTGCCAAACTTGGTGTTCTCTGCAAACTGACTGTACCCTCAATCCCCACATCCAGATCATTGATAAAGACATGAAACAGAACTGGCCTCAATACTGAGCCCTGAGGAACTCCATGAGTGACCAACTGCCAGCTGGATTTAACTGCATTCACCACCACTGTCTATGCCTAGCCATCCAGCCCATTTTTTACCCAGTGAATAGGCACCTGTCCAAGCCATGAATAGCCTATTTTCCTGGGAGAATGCCGTGGGAAAGTACCAAAGGCTTTACTAAGGACCAGGTAATCTGCATCCGCAGCCCTTCACTCATCCACTGAGTGGGTCACTTTGCTGTGAAAGGAGATCAGGTTGGTCAAGCAGAACCCATGCTGGCTGGGCCTGATGCCCTGGTTATCCTGCTCATGCCACATGATGGCACTCAAGATGACCTGGTCCATGACCTTCCCTGGTACCAAGGTCAAACTGACAGGCCTGTAGTTCCCTCGATCACCCATCTGACCCTTCTTGTAGATGAACATCACATTCACTAACTTCCAGGGGGTCGGTCTCCTTGCTTAGCAGGAGTGCTGATAAATGATGGGAAGTGGCTTGGTGAGCACTTCACCAGCTTCCTCAGTACCCATGGGTGGATCCCATTCGGTCCCATAGACTTATGTTTGACTAAGTGGTGTAGCAGATCAATGATCATTTCCTCTTGGATCATGGATAGTTCAGTCTGCTTCCTATCCCTAACTTCCAGCTCAGGAGGCTGAATATTCAGAGAAAAACTGGTCTTACTATTAAAGACTGTGGGAAAGAAGGCATGAGGTACTTCAGCCTGTTCCTCATCCTTTGTTGCTATGTTTCCACCCATATCCAACAAAGGATGGATATTCTGCTTAGCTTTCCTTTTGTTGATGATGTATTTGTAGAAACTATTTATGTTGTCTTTCGTGGCAGTAGCCAGATTAAGTTCTAGTTGGGCTTTGACCCTTCTAATTTTCTGCCTGCAGAAAATTTAGTCCTCCTGAGTGGTCTGCCCCTTTTCCAAAGGTTATAAATTCTTTTTTTCCTTAGGAAAGGCTAAGTCACCAAAGTCCATATTCCTTTATCAGGAATTCTGTTTCCAGTCGTAAATATTTCTTTTTGGCACTATATTGCGCTTAATGTTCCAGAAGTGATTTGGAAAGGAATGTCTTATCTGCATCATTAACATAATCCCCTGCAAATTCTGGCTAGCTGAGTTTTATATCTCTGCTGGAACCTTTGAGTGAACATTATACTTGTGTATTGATAATAAATAGATATCTAAGTGTCTGTGTTACCCCATTATACATATATATATATGTGCATGTGTGTGTGTATGTAGGTATATGAAAGATTTCTCTAGATTATAAAATATTTAATCATTTATTTTTAGGTTCTTAGGATCTGTGGATCTGGCAGACAGTCAGAACATGGAAAGCATGTCTTCAGTGGAATTAGACGATACTTTTAGCGTTTTTACAGGTAAGAGCAATTGCTCTTTCTTCTAACAGATATATAGTCAAGATAAGGTCACAGGTACTGCTTCTCTAAGTATGTAATGTTAATTTCACATGCAAAACCTTAGAGAATTATTTTTGATTATTAGACTGGAAATTTGCATTACCCTATCTTTCTGTCTCCCAACCTTTCATATTACATGGAAAGATACTTTCACAGGAGGTAGTGAATAAATTCTTAAACACAGATGGTGTTCTTAATCATATTATATTAGATCACAAAGCAGAGTTACGTAACTACCTTTCTCTAGGATTCTTCAGGGACAAGCACTGAAAACACTACTGAACAACTGCCTGTTGAGGAGCCCTGAACTCATGGGACGGAAAGTTGTGTTAGTGATAGAGCTGTAAGGTGCAGTGCCTTGGAAAAGTAGCATCTAACAGACAGTTTTACAGATCCCATTTTATTCTTTGAATGACATTTTTAGCCCAGGATAAGAATAACTAAAAGGGAATTAAACTCTAAAGGTAGTTGGACATAGCCTGTATCTTTGCTTCTAGCTTTTAAAATTCTGTGTTATTTAGCCGTTATTAACATACTGTGACTGGATATTTCTAAAAGGATGCAAAAGTCAAGAATAAATAAATACTTCATGTCCAGTCCACAACTGCAAATTTAGAAAGAATTTTACTCTTATCTACTGCACTCTGTGTGTGTAGTAGAGGTTGTTCAGAGGAGGAACCAGGCAGTCCGTATTGATTTTAGAATAATATATTTATGTTCTTCTCCCAAAAGATTACAGAGGATGAATACAGTTTATGTTAGCAGGTGATTCACAGTATACTTTTGAAGAGTGTTCATTTTGATGAGCATTCCTATTTACTGTATATTTTAACTTCCACTCATTATATTAACTCTTGATATGTAATGTTTACCTCCTGCTTACTTTGCTTTTTTCTTTTGCTATGTTGTTTTCATACATTATTGGGATTTCCATTTTCCTCTGTTCAGCTTTTGGGTTTGTGTATATATCTATCTACCTATCTACCTACCTGTTTTTGTGTGTCCACATCATAAAAAACAAAAGAAGGAAGAAAAATAATTAGGTAATTCTTCTTGATTTTAGATTTTGAATCGTACTTACAGAGATGTCAGCAGTTATCTGTTACAGGTAGGTAACATTTTGATGTAAGGTAAATTTGAATTTTGCTGAGGAACAAAAATAGTTTTGAGATATTATCTCAAGGCTGAAATAATGGTTTACTTTTTGTAGGAAGAGTTATTCTAAGAGTATAGGTGTATCTATGTTACATTGGGTTTATTTGTTTTTTTAAGGAATAGAGCATATTTGTATATTCTGCTTTCATTTGTTTTTTTCCGCATGTTGAATTTCTGGACCCTGAAGTACGCCATGCTCCTGCAGCCTGTTTTGATTTATCTTACAGACTGTCGTAACATGTTGTATTGATAAAACTGAGGCTGCAGCTAGGAGAGAAAGAAAAGTTGGAAATTAAGGAAAAATGCAGACCTGCAGTTGCCCTTTCCTATATTCCAAATATTATGGTGTTTAATAAATATACGTGGTGCTTTTTGTGTATGTGTGTTGTTTTGCAGTATTAACAGATCATCAGCATTTGAATAACACAGAACTGAAAACCATTATGAACAGCACAGCTCCTCAACAGTATCGCATTAGAGCAAAGCTGAGAACCTATAAACCCCAGAAGCTCCATCAGTCTGTTAAACTCCATTGTTCTAAATGCAACTCTCTGTAAGTGTTTCACACAGTATAAGTAATTAGGAATTGTTCTGTATGTTTTGGGATGCTTAGATTTTCAGCATGTTTTCATCTCTTTTGTGTAAAATGAGCTGAATGTAATTGAAACTCACTGATGATAGGGAGGAAAATTTTAAATCATCAGATGAGTTCCATTTACGAATCCTTCGAGAGCTCTCAAAACAATAATTTTTCTTTATTTTCAAATGCAGCGGTGCAATTTTTCCATACCAAAGTTGTGTTTAAGTACCTGTTTCTTTATTGCAGTTTTAAAATAGGATGTGCAAAGAGGTATGATAGTCTGTCTCCAAGTAAATGAGTAAAATATCTTTGACTAAAGTGCATCTCCCAGACAAGGCATCTATTCTGGATCCAAAAATATAGAATGGCTTGGGTTGGAAGGGACCTTAAAGATCATCTTGGTCCAACCCCCCTGCTGTGGGTAGGGATACCTTTCACTAGACCAGGTTGCTCAGAGTCCCATCCAGCCTGTCCTTGAACACTTCCAGGGATGGGACATCCACACTATTCACCTTGTTATTTTTGTCCTCTTTTTCTGACCTCTGTGAGTTCACTGCCCATTGTATCGTTATTATTTCCCTTTTAATGCTGTTTGTCACTGTATCAAATAATGCTCAAATAATCATATGCCACCTCTGCTGTATATTTATTTAAAAATGAAAGAAAGTTCATTTTAAATTACCTATTCTTGATTAAACTGCTGAGTGGCATGCACTGAAGTGCTATTCATGATCATCTGAATCCTGTATCATTTTTTTTGCCTGACTTAACATCAGTCCCAAGCAAACAGCTTTATTGTTACTCATGTAAACTATTCCTTTCTTTAATGATGGCACATTGGCTTTTGCAAACATCACTGGAACAAGAAAATGGCCCTGCTGTCCTTCTCTTACTAAAACATGAACCTTGAAATTATATAAGCTTATACAGCCTTTTCACTCTGATGAAGTGGTATGCAGTTGTGTGGCCCTTTTAAAGCCCAGCTGAAATCACATAAAGCTGATATTATATGGTCTTCCATGGATACATATATATATGTATGTGTGTGTGTATGAAGCCACTAGGCTACTTCTGCTTCTAGATAAGTTGGCATATAACTTAGCATATTTATAAACATGAAAAGTCATTATATACTATACAACTCTAAATGTTTAAGCTGATAAAACAATGAGAATATTTTTCCTATATGTACTTTTAACTCTCATATCTGTATTCTAATATTTATTTGGAGTACTGTCATCCTTGTTGATAGGTTGCCTAAGGAGAAGCTGTTAGAATTTACTTATTCATTTTGGAAATGTTTTAGGCAAGAAGTTCCAGATGGAGATGAGTTTGACTTTATTTTACAACGCTCTGCCATTACTGCCCCAAACCCAGAATTGCACAATACATCCTGGTATGATTCTGTAATGTGGACTACGGAAGACCAGAAGCAAAGGAAAATAACTATCCATTTCGTAAGGCATGATGAATTGCTTCAACAGCCTGAAAACACCTTGCTTATGATAGAAGGTAAGGTAGACTGCACATATACCAGTTCTTATGGTACGATGTCCACTCTGAGAATGTACAAAGTGAAGATATGTTGAAGTTGTATTCTGTGTAAGTAGTGGCGATCATAAAGGCATATTCAAAGAACAGAAGAACTTGCCTGGAACTGTAAGCTACTGTTGTGCAAATAGGAAAGGTTAATCTTTAAAGGTCTTGTAATATTTATTTGTAATATTTATTTGTATAATAAAAATGTTTATTGTTGATCATGCTAAAATTAACATCTTAATTTATTTTTTTTCTAGTTGTGCATATTTTTTTTAAGTTCTGATTTAAAAACTCACCGAGTCTTCTAAACAAACCTGGTTTTAGTATTGATGTAGAGAAGTTTTGAAAGGCTTCTGGTAATACAAGCCTACAATTAACTTTGTCAGCCTCTGGATGTCAGTGTTGTTTCAGATTAATAAGAGTTTCAGTGTGAGTTTTTTTGGTTTGTTGTGGTTTTTATGAGATTTCTTCGGAGAAGCGAAATAGCCACTGACCTTTAAAAAAAGCAATTTAGAAGAATACTATTGAGGATTTTTTTAATATAATGAAAATAATAATTAGTAAAATAAATAATAATTCAGACTTGAAGTCTTCAGTTGTGGTTAAGTAGTGGTGTGAATAAGCAAGCGTATGTCAGGTGGTCCTTTGTATAGGGGTCAATGACAAAACCCCTTCTGTTTTCTGCTTTGTTTTATATTCAGCTAGTTCTGATAACTGCTTTATTTCTGACATGTTTCAAACTGATTTTAATCTAACCTTATCTTTGGGGGAGGAGGGGAAGGGGGGAAGGAATTCTGCTCCATTTTCCTGAAACAACTGAGCAATATAACTCAGTTATTAAAGTGCCAGCTGCCCAGGGAAGTGGTGGATTCTCTGTCCATCTCATCCAGATGAGACTGGATGTGGCACTTAGTGCCATGGTCTAATAACCACGGCAGTGTTGGATCAAGGGTTGGACTTGATGATCCCAGAGGTCCTTTCCAACCCAGCTGATTCTATGATTCTAAGTATGTGTGTATGTGGGTATATGAGCATAAAAAGCCAGTTTGGTTGATTTGGGGTTTTTTCCTAGAAAATTGCAAGTAAAATCAAAGGAGAAATTATATGAAAGTGATGCTAACTAAATACAACTTCTTGGTTACAGTGATAGCTGTGAGGAAGATATTAAGGCATGTGCTTTTATGAATGTCAGTCTTTGATTCTTTATTGAGTCTGTTGTTGAGTAAGAGTGAGAAGGTGTTGGGCTATTTTTTGAGTTTTCAGTGGTGGATCTCAATTATTATTTGAAGGTCCTGAAATCAGTGTCTAATCAGCCAAGAAGTACAAGTTGTTTAATTTATTCCTGATTACAGTTTAAGAAACCATGTTTTTCTATTTTTAATAGGTGGAACATTAAAAGAAATCTGGAAGCTCACAAAAAGATTTAAGTGTGTTATTCCTGTGAGATCAACAGAGGATGATCTGGAATTATTAGATCTTTCAGCTCCTTTTCTTTTACAAGGGAATGTAAAATATTATGGGTAGGTTAAAAGTATTTGATGATATTTCAATAGTTGTAGTAATAGATACCATTTTCTTCAGCAATTCAGTCTGCATTGCTCAAGGGATAACTTACCCAAAGATTCTTTGATGCAAATTACATAACATGATGTGCAGTATCTAGTACCTAAAGTACCTAAATCTACCTCTTTTAGTACAGGTCTCCCATTTTGTGGTCTCACTTGAAGTCAAAACACATGTTGCTTTTAAAACTGTATGCTGGGGGTTTTTTTGTATATATTAACAATTTAGCAGATAATATTTAAATAGAGACCCAGCAAATTGTCTCAGGACAGCCTACATCTCATTCTCTCTCATTCTTAGTGTTGGGAAAGCTTGGGTTTTGCAAGAAATAAGGGATTTTGGACAGTCTATCCTTACTATTTGTCATTTATTGTGATCCTCAGCACTGCAAAGTGCCTTACCTATTTGTGGATGTCATTAACTGTAGAGACAACTCAACGAGTTTCTGAATTCCACAGTTCCAAGGCTGTGGAATGCAATACGTACATCTCGGTGTGATATCTGTGATCTGAGCACTAACAGCAGTGTGTTCTCCCAGTACTGCCCAGCAACATGCAGTTGCTGAGCTCAGAAATACCAGGTACTTCATGCAAACTATTGAATCTCTCTCTCAGCAGCCCTAGTAAGTTCAGGCAGAGCACAGTGCAGTGGGGCACTACATCAGGTCTGTAGGCAGTAAAAAAATTTCTATGCACAAATATTGCATGTTTCATGTGAACCCTAAAGTTTCCCATAAGGACTGTCCATAAAATGAATACAGGTTATTATTTCTCTTTGTTATATATTGTTTTGACCTTTACAGATATGGCTGTCTGCAGCTTTTTTAAATAAAGGCAGTATGTGGGTACTCCTACTGGGACGGGATCTTCACCAATACAAAGTATTTCCCCTTGCACTTTCATAATCCATATATTTCCCCAGCTACACACAACTCGCCTTCAGATGTTGTTCTTTTCAAATGGCTGGATTGTCAAAGTTTAAAAACTTTTTGTAAAAGCTTTTTGTAAAAAGCTTTATAAGACATTTCATGATTGTTTATAGGATATTTAGGAAGGAACCTCACAAGGATGCTGACATTTCAGAACGATGTTTCATGTGCTTTTTTTATCAGTGGCATACACTTAGCAAAGTCTAAAAGAGATTCTGTATAGAAGAATGAATTTATATGTGTGTGCATGTGCATGTATATTCATATGTATATATATATAAATAAGCAGACACTTGCATATAAAAAGCAAAATTCACAACAAAGTTACTTTATTGGAGTTTGAGTGGATTTTTTAAAGGAAAAAAGTGACTTAGCTGAGCTTGATTTTATATCACTGAAGCACAAGTAGTTCTACTGATTTTTATTACATACTTGCATATAATTCTTAAAGGTAATAAATGTATATTTCAAGTTCTAACTGTAATATAGTAGCAGAAAAGCTTATTTGGAAAAATAGTTGTTCTATAATTTTATTCCTTGAGGCAAATGGAAACAATTCTTCAATATTTTCATCCACTTACAGCATTTGCTCACTATGTCACATGTAAAATTTATTTATTTATTGGTGTAAATACACCAGTAATAAAATAGATTGTTCTAATAACTCATAGTTAATATTCTCAACATAGGCAAAGCCAAATTTCTCCTCAAATCCTGTTGTGGTTTTAGTGTGTGCTACAAGTTCAGATTTATTCCTGCTTTTACAAAGTGAAAAGTAGTGAATATGAATATATGTTTAGCAATGTAGTGATCTTGGAATCATGGAATGGTTTGGGTTGGAAGGGACCTTTGAAGATCATCTAATCCAGGCACCCCCTGCGAAGAGTCACCTTCTACTAAAACAGGTTTCTCAGCTTCATCCATCCTGGACTTGAACACTTCCAGGATGGGACATCCACAGTGTTTCTGGATAACCTGTACCAGTGCCTCAGCACCCTCACTGTAAAGTATTTCTTCCTTCTGTGCAATCTAAGTCTACCTCTTTCAGTTTAAAACTGTTGCTCCTTGTCCTGTCACTATAGGCCTTGGTTAAAAGTCTCTCTTGTCTTTGTTATAAGCCCCTTCTATATATTGAAAGGCCACAATAGGGTCTTACCAGAACCTTCTATTTTCCAGGCTGAACAACCCCAACTCTCTCAGCCTTGATGTGCACTTTTACTCCTATCTATTCCCTGAGGTGGTATTTTCCAGATTTATTTCTTCTCAGGGATATTTCAGAAACAGCATTAAGGGGTTTGATGTGGTCTAAAGCTGGTGTTTCTGCTAAAATAGTTATTTTAAGCAGCAACAGAAATACTTTTGCACTCCCACTGTGTAAGAAAATCAGAATTTTCTTTTTTTCTGTGCAGAAACTTTAGTATAAGTAGATCAGTGGTTGATTAGTCTCAATATCTTGTTTTAAATGGTAGGTGCAAGCAGTGTTCGGCTCCAAAGCCTATCAGGAATCTAAGTTCCTTTGCAGCAGAAGAGCAACCATCATGGGAACCAACTGAAATAGCACAAGGTCAGCTTATGTGATATTGTCCTGAAATACCTTGAATTCTGAAGTGTGTATGTGAAATAGTTTGGGTTGCAGTTCTGGGTTGCAGGTTTTTACAGAAAACATGTAATTTATGGTCACGTCGAATATAATGCTGTAAAATTTATTGACCTTTTACTAGTAGAAGTAACATACTTACTTTTGAAATTATTGCAGTATGAATTAAAGGATATGTTTTGTAGTTTCTTTAACCATAAGTATCAGTAGTAACACCTATTGTAGTACAGATGTTATGATTTTTGGTTGAAGATGTTGTTAAACTGTGTATATGCTTGCAATCCTAGAAGTTATTCTTGCTTTTTCCTTTTAAAGATACAGTTTTTCTGACCTGAACTAAAGAGAGTCTTAGTTAATGACTCGTAAAAGTTAGACTTTTATCTTCTGTAAGCCTTAGGATAAGCATATTCCAGAGAATCTTCAAGAAATAATATTCAAATGAAAGGTATTATACCACAACATTTATGTGTGTTCCCTGCTTTGTGTGTTCCTTGTGTTACTGCATGCAGTCAACATGTTAAAAAGCTGGAAGTGGGGCTTAAAATTTTACAATACATTAGGGAAAGAGAATGTTTTTATGTTTATTGATTCCTATTCTAACATATTGTCAGAATAGCTAGCAGTACATAAGTTTGGTAAAGATTTTATAAAAGAAAAAAACTAATTGAGCAATAAAGCGATTCTCTAAATAAGCTGTTATAAATGTAAAGTAATATATAACTGTCAGTGACTGACATTTTATTCTCAAAGTAAAACCAGTATTGATTAATGCTTCCTGATACTTACACTATTTTATGTATATTATTCTTCTATCGTCTGTATTTTCAGACTAAATTATAACCTGCAAGTATATCAGATCAGTTGAACATAAAATGACTACCAGTTTAAGTAGATTTACTCAGAAAGGAATGGGTACACCTACACCTACTACAGCAAAAGAGTTGTGGTAACTTTTTATGTTGAAGTTATTTTATGTTTGCGGCATAACAGTTACTGCTGCCAGTGAGAAAGTGACTATAGTCATTTACTCTAAGCTGGAATACTTTTGGAACTGCCAGCTAAGTTTTTTTCGGAAAAACTGCCTATTAGCTTTTCCCATATCATATGAAACATTGTTTTCCTCAGAAGATAGTTTTCAGGTGGAATGCATTCTTATTATCACTGAATTAAGAGCACCTTTCTGTTAATCTTTTTTGAATAAAAGAATAGGATTAGGAGAATCCTACAAAGGTAGGATCTAAGATCCAAGCAAATACTAGCTTTTTTTACTAGTATGAGAATAAATACTCAAAAATCTTTATGCGTTTTTATTACAGTGTTTACAGGTGAATTGCAATGTGGTCTTAAAATACAAATGACATTTTGCTGTTCACAACCACTATGTTTTGGTCTGTCAGTTTATACTTTTAATGAGAGTATTCGAAGTCAGTTACCTATAAAGGAGGGATGTTGTTGACTTGAGTTGTTACAGTTTGTCTTGCATATTCACTCCAAGAAACATAAATTGTTTTTTTTTCTTCAGTTTTAGGTATTGAACTTCTCCAGTATGTTTTTATTATGAAGTTTACTCTGGTTGATGGAACAGGAGCACTAAATGCATACCTTTTTGATTATGTAAGTAGATCTAGGTAAAGGTAGACTCTACAGATTATGTGGGTTTGGTTTTGATTTGTTTTTAAAATAGCAAGTGTATATACACACATATTCATTATATGTTACTTGATGTATTTTTTGGGGGACAGTTAAAATGCTGGTAATACTGTACAGAGTATAGAATATTAAAGCATAAAGACAAAACAGGAGCTAGTATATAGATTATTTGGTATTTCCATAGCCTTTTCTACATTATAATGCCTGAATTTCTTTATTATTTGCAATGTTAAATTATATGTCCTGAATGCTGTGTGAAGGATGGGAGTGTTTCAAGATTTATGCAGGTAACTTCTGGATTAGTTTAAAATCTCATTACCTCTGTTTTTTTAACTGCCAGTAGAATCTTTCCATTTGGTAATGCTTGATTTTTTTGTTTCATATGACGACAAGGTAAAGGGGCCTTCCTTTCCTAGGCAGAACTCAGCTATATCCATATGGATACTTGTCTTTGATTTCAGAAGCAGTTTATTTAACTACTTTATTAATCTTAGAATTAACCTACCTTCAGTTTTCTGTGAAGCTACTTAAGACCATTCCTCCTACCCGAGACACTGAAGAATGGACACACTACAATTTGGGTGTGACAAAGTGGGACAGAAGAAGAATTTAGTGGGATTATTTTTCCACACTGCAGTACTGTTTAATGTGTATATATCTTTCCACCATTATACTAAATGACTTTGAATAGGACTTTGAGGCTGTAAGTAAAAGTAATATTGGGGAAAAAACATAAACGTGTTTTCCTAAAGTACACAAATTTCAGATAGTCATGTTTTCCTTCTACTCACCTTTTTCTTTTATGTATATTGAGAAACTAAACTGGAAAAGGAAGGTGGGGGAAAAGATTTTAAACCATCTTTTGATGCAGAATTCCAAAAATTTCTACTTCAGGGTGGCTCACATACTTGTCAGATACTGCTCAGAACTACGGTTTAGCTACAGGAAAAAAACACGACTTCTGTCACAGTGCCAGCTGCTCATATTCTTGCTGAAAGGACTTCAAAGACAAGCCAATACCTTCCAAACCTAAACTCCAGCCTTTCAGCACTACCTAAGAAGGAACTGGGCTGTTTTGAAGTGCAGCTGTACACTAGCTTCCAGTTGCACTTCTGTAGGAACACACTCAGTTCTTTTATTTCCTTCTCTCTTTATAGGAAAAGTCAGTGAAGGAAAAAATCAAAAAGTTTTATAGTGAGAAGAATTGGAAGAGTGAAAGGAAAAAGCAGTTATCTGAGTCAGTTTTGCTGCTGGATTATCTGCTAAGTTCTGATCACTGCCATTAAATGTGTCATACGAAAATTATACAAAGACAGAATTATTCTGTGTTTGTATCTTTTTAACAAAAATGACAAAAACCTTAGCTTGCCTTGAGAACTTATGACAAGCCTTTAGAGATAGAAAATCAGGTAACAAACTTGGAAAGAATAAAATAGGAGTTTTGTTACTCATACTTCATGTGGTTTAATAATACACAGAAAATGTCTATTTAATGTTCCATTCTTTATTTTTGTGTGCTGTGTACCTCACAGTATAAGCCTTCCTTCCTAGTTTCTGAAACTGTCAGAAAGTGAAACTCACACTAAGGGAGTTCAACTGATATGAAGCCAGGTTGCAGTGCCCTTGTTTTCAGGTGACTTCTGTAGATGTTCTCACACTGCAGCGAGGGACTGTTGAGGGGGACTGGCCATCCTCTCTGGCCGTAACATTCTCTGATTATGGAGGTTTATGAGAAATATCCACCAGTTATGTATAGAGACCTACATGTGTGCTGTCTGGGTGGCTGTGGTTCCTGAATACTCTATACTTAAATACAGACTGAAATGCAGACTATTAATTTTTTCAGTTTGTTTTTCTTCTATATCTGAACAGTTTTTGAAATTCTCTTATGTTACGTTACCTAGTTTGCAGTTGCTAAAAGAACATACAGTCAAGGTCCTGGCTAATGATTTCTGACCCCTATTTTAACACCTCATACTTTTCTGTTCTCTTCTAGGAGAAGTTTTTCCAAATTCCTGCCTCTGAAATCTTAACTAGCAATTTTCTTCAGGAAAAGATGCAGATGACCATGAATATGCTCTGTCCTCCAGGAAGAAAATTAGGTCAGCTTGCTGTTATTTTAAAAGAGGGGTGAGGTGGGAAGGGAAGGGATCCTTCAATCTGCAATTGTATATGCAAAGTCTTAGAATTCAACTTATGCACAGGCAAAACTCAGAACAGAGAAATGCTGGAGTCTGTAAGCAGAGTTCCAATTAATTTGTTCTGATACATGTTTTTAATATTGGAACTCCCTTTGAGAAAGAAAAGTAATGGGTCAGTAAATTCTCATGTAGCGTTCAGTGATGTGTGAATAGAGTCATGCCTGTGCAGGCACAAACATGTCATTTGTATTCATAGGGAAGTTAACCAGAACACCCTCGTACTGAATGTGCATTAGGGGAAAGCTGAAAGGAAATTCAGCGTATGGCACGTGCTTTGGGTGATATTCTGCTCTCCATTGCACATGTTGGTTTAGACCATCCCCTAAACATCCATGGAAATTGAGCAAATACTTAATCCAAATCCATTCACAGAGCTTTTTGTGCAGTGTTTGTGTTGTAGTAGAAAGTGGCTCTGCCTAAACTGCACATGTCCAAGGTAACTGGTTGTGTGATGCATCTCTGACCTCCAGAGCATACTCCCAGTACATGGCTGTCAGTGACCACTGCAACCATGCTGGAATCTTTACCATACTTACAAAAAAAGTCCCTGTTATAAAGATTATAAAGGATTTTCCCTTTGAGACCAGTGAAATTGTCTCACTGAGACACATGGAGATTAATTTTTTATTATTGGAAACTTTTTACATATATATATATTACATACTGTAGAATTACTACTGGGTCCAAGTGTTTTGGGAGGTGCTGGGATAGGGAGGACAAGTCCTGAAATGCTGTCACTGAACACCATTTCAGATATTGCAGGAAACTTTGGAGATACCAATTGGAATGTCAAAGTTAGTAATTAATTTTTCTTCCTATTAACTATTATATACATTTAGATATCATAGGTAAGGTCCTGCTCAAGTTATACTTGTCTCTTATAAAAGTTAGAAACGAATATTGAACAGTAATTTGCGTTCTTTTGGTAGATGACTTGCCATGGCTGGAATGCTTCATCAAGTCCTATAATGTCAGAGATGCAACGAAACATCGAGTTTGTTACCAAATTTTTGACACTACAGTTGCTGAAGATGTTATATAGTCATGTGTTGCTATTAGAAAGTAAGCCAATGAGGAATTTTTGGGGGTGGTTGGGATGTGAGACTGTATTAAAAGAAATCTTTGTTCCTTTCTCAGAAATTCAACCTGTGTATATGAATTTTTAGTTTGTTTATGAATGTGAATGGGAATTATGCTTTGATGTATTTACTACAGCATTGTGATGCGAGAGCAAGTGGAGGTGCTAAGCTTTTCACTGGAAGCTGCTTGGCTCAGGTTGATGGAAGCAATCTAGTACCCATCTATCCTTCAAAAAGGCAGTCTTGAGGTTACTGTAAAGTGTTGAGTTTTACTCAGAAATGTTGTCAGAATTATGCTTCTTGTTCATTTTTGTATAATGTCAGCAAAGATAGAAGGAGCTCTTTAGTAAACTCTTTCAGACTACTTTGTGCAAGCCTATGTTACTGTTCTCAGCCAGTTTGACAGGGAGATGGTTGGTTTTTAGGGACTTCTTTGATTTTGCACTGATGCATATATTTAGACAGAACTCATCCTCTTAATAATACTGAGGTAACTGCTACTTATACCAGTTGCTGTACATTCTGATGGGGTTGTGAGCATAACCATGTAATGATTAGCACTAAAATTAAAGTCAAGCCATGAAAGTAAGTTGGTGTAAAATGGTTAAATGAATATTGACATTTGGTAGATGGTAATGATTTTTAGGATGGCCCTGTTGGTTACCAAATTTGGTAGCATCGTTATTAGCTGGGTCTGCATTTTCAGAGGCTCTCATGTATCTGGCTAAATGTACTGTCAGATTGCACTGCCTAGATCTGCCTTTTCCATCTTACGTAATCAGATTGTATGACTAAATTTAGGGATACAGAACTGATCCAGTGCTATCATGGATTGAAAATTCTGCTGGACTACAAAAATGAGTTGCTTGTGTTACTTTGCATTTAGAAGTCTATAGAAAAAATTCAGGACTTTTTTCTCCAAGGATTATTAATGTAGAGATCCCTGTCAAATCAAATGCTTTCCATCAGAGCAAAATTACTTAATATTTAAACAGCTGTTTTTAATGACGTTCAGAATCAAGATGGAATATCTGTTTGCAAGCAGATTATTATTTTGATAGCACATGACTTTTTTTCTGTTTTTTCCGGGATGTTTAGTAGATTATGCAATTTGCCATTTAAAATTTCACCAAATATATTCTGCTAATTTTCTGATTTCTGATAATTTTCTCTAAAAAATTATATTGGGTTTATATGTTGTAAACCAGGAGATTGTTCTTTATTGATTAGTGTATAGGCAGAACCAATATTAAAAGTGGTTAGTGGATATCTCCTTTAAAAATTCTGAAAACTAAAACAACTTTGGAATTAAACAAGCAGCTTATCAAAGCATCTACTGACTTATGGAAGTTCACCTGAATATTTGAATAAATGTATCAACAAAAAATTGTTATAGCAAGCTACTAAATTAATATTATAAAACTTTGGACACTGGCCACATCCAGATGATTCCAGAAGCTACGGGTTAAATTGAAGGCAATCTTTTTTGCTTTTATTGTATATAGTGTATGAAAATAGGAATTTCTATTTTTGTTCACTCTGAAAGATATTGGTATTGTACATTTTTTCTAAATAAGTCTTTGTAAAGTAATAAATGAGAATATATTTTGAATTTCGATGTAAAATCAGTATCACCATATACTTTGTCTGAGATCCATGCTCGAAAATGACATATGCATCACATGATTTTTTTACTATTGAATATTTTATTAAAATGCTTAATAAAAATATTTCCAAATATTGAGTTTCTCTTCTACTTGACTTTTAGTTTCTAGTTCATAACTGTGAAAACTTTATCATCAGTAGCCATCATCTAACAAAATGCTCCAAATGAATGTTTATATAGTTTGTTGGATAGAAAAGTACACGTTTAATTCCCTTTCTAATTAACAGTTGAAAATTATATATTTGGCTATACTAAAAATCACTGTAAAGAAAGGAATTAGTGCACAGACATTGAAAAAGATCTGTGTCTCTTTGGTAGCCTTTGTATGGAGCAATGAAGTTGCTGAGATGGGACTCAGACCTTAATTGTCTATCCTGGTCAGCGCTGAGACCTGTGAATATTTGACTGGGGGATGGAAATCCTGATATTGTTGTGTCCTAAATCTGCAGCACCAACAGGCTTTGGTTTTGAAAGCTGAGCATCTCAAGCAGCAATGACTTTTAGCCATTGTTAGCAATCTTCTTAATTACAAAAAAAAGTCACACTTCCTTTGGTGAGTTTCTTGACCAGGTGTATGATTTCAGTTTCTAAAGACACTCAAAAGTTGAACAAATAGGAGATCAGTTTAATACTGGTACACTAAGATCCAATGAAAACTCCAGGCATCTGTTCCTGGTTTCCCATCTTTCTCCCTCCACATACATCCCAGCATATAGGGTAACTGAATCAAAACATCAGCTTCTTACTAGAAATATGCAAATATACATGGCAAATATGCATGGAATATGAAGTCTGTCTCACACAGCAAAATCATCGCAGGCAAGATTATCTGATTGTAAATTAGGAGCTGGGAGGGAAAATAAAAAAAAATAGATCAATAAAGGAACATGAACCCATCCCCTGTTCCAATAACACAGGTAAGTGCAGAGAAATTAATGAAATTTTAATTAAAAAAAAAAAAAAAGGATTTGCAGGAAAAAAAATTTAGAATAATGTTTTTAGGGGTGCCTGTGTAATTGGGCTCCTTGAAGTCAGTGTTTTAAGGGGGTTTAAAAGCTTAAGATTGGAAGTCTTTCCAAAGTCAGCTGAATTTAAGCTCCTGGTTGTGTCAGGCTCTTGAAACTCCAATTGAAAAGACAGAATGTAAATAAATAACAGATTGTAGAAACAAGGAGGCATTCCTGGTAGGTGACCTGCTGTTCAGTGGTGATTGAACTTTCTCATCAGCTTCTGCAGTTATGGGATCCAGAAATTTACAGACAAGGCTTTGAAATGACAAAAGCTTTGGCTACTGAGCAGCAGGAAGCGGGATGGCAAGAACAGTAGAACAAACACAGGCTGAGGTTTGCAACTGAAGGAAGAGAGTTTATTGCCTTACCAGGGATAAGTGCTTAGCTCTTCAATATCACAGTGGTTTAGATCACAAAAATTTATGCACATTAAGTCACTTTTTGGTCAAAGCCAAATGTGAAAGTGGCAGGAACTGGGGTACTGCAGTAAGGGGCAAGGCCAAATACTGAAATGGAATTGTGAAAAAATTAAGCAAATATACATGCTCAAGTTCTTCATGTGGAATGGGAGTACTGCAGAAAATTTTGTTCACTAAAGGAGAGAAAAAAATTTTCAAATAATTTATTTTAAATAAGCATTATTCAAACTGTACTCAACAGTGAATGTTAAGAATTGAAAACAAAAAAAATTGTTCAGCAGAAGATGAAGAGAGAAAGAAAGAACAGACTGTAGTAAAGGCAAGAAGAGGTAGTTGAGAGTCTTTATGAGACAATTTGCTGCCACTCCTGTTCACAGCATTTCCTATACATGAAGTTCCCAGTGAGAACTATGGTTTCTGGAAACATTCATCTGATGAAGGATAACCAGATCCAAAGTGCTTGAAAAATATAGAGCAGAATTAGACTATAATTCATATTTGTAGTAAAGTTGTGGATGGACTTCATGCCAGAACAATCTACTACAGTGTGGTTTTCCTTCTTATTTTCTGCTGCAATACTGATATATGCCTACAGAAGTATCTCCTTAAAACTGCTGTTCTGTTACCATTTCTCTGCATAAACTGAGCAGACTGAGAATCTAGGAATAAATTACATTCAGTAGATACTTGTTTTATTTTGAAATTTTGCTAGTAAACTAGGAAGAAATATTCTACATGTGGAAATATGTGACAGGAAAAATTTTATATTTTTCTTTTAATCTCCTAACTGTTCTGTTATACACAAACCTTTAAGCATAAATTTGTTCTATACCTTTTACTATGTGTGCACACGTGAACTGTTAAAGAAATACAGTTTTGTGAAGTACAAGCTGCACTTTTAGAATTGAGACTGTATTTAGTTGTAATTTCAAAAGGCAGCTATCAGGTAGCTCTGATTTATTGAGCTGTTACTTCACTGAAAGGAATTCTCTGGTTGATGCCAGTTTATAAATGCTGCTTGAATTTTGTGGCTAAAAGAGCAGCAAAACTGAAACTGAAATCTGCTGCTGGAACAGATTTAATTACAGATTTTATTTCTTTCTTCTTCTGTCTGCAAATGAGATTGCAAATTAAGCAACTCTAAACCCCTCTGAAGCAAAATTTGAAATGACAAATATGATCAGTTACTGGCAGGGTGTGTACCCGAAGGGCTCTTCATTGTTTTTAATGGGGGTGGGTAAGGGGCTTGCACCAGACAGCAGTCTTGAGTGCTGCTGTTCTGTTGTACATTCATTTGGTGCTCCATCATGGGGGATACTCTTTTCCTAACACATTTACTAGGCTGAAGATACGAAATCCTGTTAATAAGAATGAAACTCTTGCAGTGATTGAGTTTGACATCTCCTTATATTGTGGGATTATGTCAAAGATCACCTAGACACGCTGCCCTTTGGTCTTCCTTTCTGCAGAGGTACCCTCGTACTTGCTGTGGTGTGCGTAAGGTCTCTCTGCCCAGAAAACTGCAGTTGTCTTAAAGGAAAACAGCTGCTTCCATTTGCTGCTTTGTCAAGAGTAAACCAACTAGCCTTAAAAGTAAGGAGGAGATGAAGAATTGCTTTCCCCCTACATTTGTTAGCAATCCACTGTGTCTTGGATCCTTCAGCAGGAAAAAGCAGCAGAAAAAGCTTGAAAAATTTCATTTGAAGGGATGAGAAAGGTAAGAAGTTATATGTGAAAAAAAAGTTAGGATTGAGGAGTGAACCTTAAATATGTGACACTGCACTTCTATAAATCAGATGTTGTGTCTTGGAAATCCTGATGCAGATCTGTTGACTGCTATGCTCTGTATGATTTTGTATATTTATGATTTGATAATAATCTTTTGAATATTATTCCAATCTGTTTTAAGTGATTAACTAGACTAATTCGCAGTTATGTTTCTAAACAAGTTTAATTCCTCTCAATCCAGTTACTGAAAATTGTTTTTATCTGAACTGAGAGAGGTCAGTTTGTTTTTACTTTAAAAACTGTGAAAAAAAAAAATTACAAAATCACAATGTTTGTCATTCACCAAGTGCCAGGGCCTGCTCACATCAAATCATTTTTCTAGCAAGGACAATATTCCACAATGATACCATGTAAATGTACCTTTTCACAGCAAGTTTACCAAGGCATTATAAAAATAGCAGTAGTTTTCAATGCTCATTTAGCTCTTCTGTAAGGCCTGGAAAAATGTGAACATATTTGGCCTACTTTTCAATCTGGGTAAGGAGGGAGCTGATCTGATGTGATGGAGCAGGGAATCCTGAAGTCCTTTCTTACTGGCTATGGCAAAGGTACTCAAGCCTTATTTTAAATATTGAGGTCATTGGCTAATATGTGTCAGGAAAGCATAGAACTGTACCAAATACTCCTGTCAAGAACACGTGCAACAAGGCAAATCAGAACTGGAAGTCAATTCAAATTGAAACTGACACAAGGCAAAATGTGACAG